CTATCTGTCCTGGAAGCTCTTTATCTCTCCTTCCGTTCTGAATGACAGCCTTGCTGGATAAAGTATTCTTGGTTGCATGTTTTTCTCATTTGGTACCCTGAGTATACCATGCCAGCCCTTTCTGACCTGCCATGTCTCTGTGGATAGACCTGTCGTTAATCTGATGTTTCTCTTCCACTTTATGTTAGGAATCTCTTGTCTTAAGCTGCCTTCAAGATTCTCTATTTCCAAAATTTGCAAGCTTCAGTATTATACGTCAGGGTGTTGATCAGTTGTTGTTTTATTTGGGGGTGGGGGGAAGGTGGAGAGGAAGTCCTATCTCTTGGATATAAATACTTGTTTCTTTCCCCAGATTAGGGAAGATTTTAGCTATGCTTTGTTCAAACATACCTTCTGGTCCTCTCTGTCTCCATGCCCTCTGGAATACCAATAATATGGATTTTTTTTTTTTCAAACTATCACCCAGAGTCTCTCCTCTTGGGCTCTTAGTTGTTTTTCTCTTTTCCTCAGTTTCCTTTTTCCCCATCAAGTTTTCTTCCACATCACTTATTTTCTCTTCTGCCTCATTTACCCTGGCTGTTAGAGCATCCAGTTTAGAGTACATTTTAGAAAATTTTTAATTTTGGCCTGATTAGATCTCATTTCTGCAGTAAGAGAATCTCTTGAGTGTTTTATGCTTTTTTCAAGTCCAGTTAGTAATTTTATCATTGTATTCCTGAATTCTATCTCTAACTTTTTACTTAAATCCATATCCATTAAATCTGTATTATCTCTGGTTCTTTTTTCTTTGTGGTGAATTCTTCCTTTTAGTCATTTTGTCCAGGGCAGAATGGCTGTACAGGTGAGCAGAGTCAAAATGTCAGCCACAAGCCAAGCAAAATACACACTAGATACTTCCACAGAGGTCCAGGACCAGAAAACAAAAGAAAAAAGACAAAGAAAAAGAAAATGAAATAAAAAAAAAAAAACGGGGGGGGGGGGTTGGGGGAAGGAAACGGTGCATGAGAGAAAATAGAATCTCACAGGGTGGACCAAGATGGTGATCCACTTGGTTTTGAGTGTATTTTGGTCTGTATGTTGAAGGTATGAAATTCCAAATTTATATATATATGGAAAAACTTCTATATTTACAAAAATAAAATATTGAATAAGTGGTAAGGAAGCCAAAAATGAAGAATATATCTATAACATGTGATTGTAAAATACAAAAGAAAAAACTTCAAAACAGAGTTAATAAAATGTTATAGAAAGACGGGAAAAGAGAATGAATATTGGAAAGTTTTAACCTGAAAGATAAATCATAAGAAAAAAAAATCCTCGAGTTCTAAATGCTACTTTCTCTTAGTCCCGGATTCTTCAGTCCCTGTAGGTCAGTAACTTGCTGTTCCGGTTCTCCGGGCTGGTTTTCTGTGGGCGGGGCCTGCTGCGGATTCTCGGGTGTCCGTGCCTGGGTGGAGCGGCTGTGCCCCTTGCCGGGTGGCTGGGCCCAGTAGGAGCAGTTTGCTGTGTAAGGTCTTTGTTCCTGGAGGCTTTCCGTGCCTCTTTTGAGGGCAAAGGAAAAAAAAAAAAAAAAAAAAAAAAGGCCCGCAGAGGTCTCCAGCCCCAGAGCCAAGAGATCCAGCACGTGCCAAACCGCAGTCCCCTCTAGCGCCCACTCACTCCTCCTCCTCCTCCTCCTCCTCACCAGCAGGTGGGCGGACCCTGACCTGTGCAGCAGGACACCGGTGGGGAGAGGTTTCACCCGCTTGTGCGTGCACTCCCTCTGCCTCTCCCAGGTGAAAGCAGAGCGTTGCAGGGACCCGGCAGGCAGAGGTCACCCATCTGTCCTCGGTTCGGTTCGGTTCGTGTTTTATGGCACAAGCGGGAGTCTTCCCCGGGCTCGCTGACCTAAACCTGTTTCCCTGCTCCGATGCTTGGGAGCTCTGCCCCTCAGGCGCCCCGATCTTTCTGTTCCTCCAGGAATATTGAGACCTCACTGTCCCTCCTGTAATTCTGCGTTTCACCACTGAGCACCTTTCGGGCAGGGAAGACTCTCCCGGGAGCAGATCTCCAAAGGTCCTGATTTGGAGCCCCAGGACTGTATCACTTGCCTGCAGCCCGGCTACAAAGGCTCCCTCCCCCTGCGCTTTACCTTCCCATAGATCCCCCGTTTCTCTTCTCCACAATCCTCCTTGCAAGAAGTGGTCACTTTTCTATTTGTAGAGTTCCAGCCATGCTCTCTTTACATCTCCGGTTGAATTCATAGGTGTTCAGGATGGTGTTTGAAAGTTACCTTGCTAAACTTGGGGGAACCAGATGAAACGAGATCCCCTGTCCTTCCGCCATGTTGCCATTGGTATGGTGTTTTTAATTTCAAATTTTACTTTTCCATTGGTTATATGGGAAAATGATTGACTTTTGTAATATTAATCTTGTATCTTGCAACCTTATCATAATTACTTATTCCAGGAGTTTTTTGGGCCAATTCTTTTAGGTTGTTTACATAGGCAATCATGTCATCTGCTAACAAAGACAGTTTTATTTCTTCCTTCCAAATCTGTGTACCTTTTATTTCCTTCTCTTAAACTGCATTAGCTAGGACTAATATAAACGGTATTGTTTTTAATTTCAAACTTCAATTGTTCTTTTTGGTATAAAGGAAAGCAATTCTCTGTTTACTTAGCCTGGCTATGATTTAATCAATTTTATTGATATTTTCAAGAACCTAGGCTTTGGTTTTATTGATTTTCTTTATTGTTTTCCAGCTTTAAATTTCATTGATTTCTAATTTTTATAACAATTATTTATTTTAATTATAAACACTGGATAAAGTAATGTAGAACCTAAAGTACATGTGTTTAATTATCTTAAAATAGAACAAAGAAAGCTTCAGGCTCCTTAGGGGTTTAATCTCAAAGATGTTATCAAATGAAACACATAAATAATCAGCAAAATTCTTAGGAACTTGTAGAAATGTTCTTTATTTCATGCAAAGCCACATAATTTCCTGATTTTAATAGCTAATCAAGTAAACATTTCAAAAAATTCATTACATCACAATAAGTTAAAATACTACAAAGCAATTGCAAGTCCACGAGTTTGTCAAAACCAAACCGAGAGAACATTATGCATAGATAAGGCCAAAGATGCTAACTTACTTATAGGAGCATTTTGCAGCTTTTTCCAAATACATATTTGAAAATGTAGTGAGAATCTGCAGAGAAAAATAGTTAACCCATTGGTCAGATAGGAAAACATCTGTCATTACATATCAGGTAGTAATGGCTAATTAAAGACAAATTTGGCATCATGCACCAAAAATGAACAGAATGAACATTTAGAAAAATTATGACCAGATGCACATTTGAAAAGACTTATCCTCTATTTCACCTAATCCACTGAATTAGACAAATAACAAGTACTTCATTAATGCAACACAGAAATTAGGCTTTTGGTATACTTCGTTTGGGTACTGATATATATAAAAAGACACTGAAGGGATGAAAGAATATTTCAAATTCACACTGGATTACTGAACTTTAGAATTGCCCCAAGGAACTAGGATATGGGCAGAACTTATTTGAGAATGATTTTTAAACTACTTAAAAGCACTACAATTAGTTACTACAAAAAATTTTATAAAAATTAAATACCAGAAAGTAACAACATCAATATTAGAGCTCTTTTTTTCAATGCTATAATTTATAAATATATATTAGATTACAGTAATTTAAAAGACATGTCCACATGTTTTCTACCTTCTACAATGAGAAAAATCCTTCAAGCTGTTTTCAAAGTATGAACAAAAACAAATCCATTGGATTGCTTTTAATAAAATAAATACAAGTCTCTCCCCTACAACTTGGTGTACTAAGTAGGGAAGATGCTAGCCAGCGTTCTTTTGAGAAATACAGCTCTAAGTGACTAGATTGATAAGATTTATATCAATTATATTGACTCAATATGGTGTTGCACAGAGTCATAAATTATGACTTTACCCTACATATATCTGCCATAGTAAACCACTTTTTCTACACTTTTGCACCAAGTACAGAAAAAAAAATCTTTTATAAAATGACTTGAGATCAAGATAACCACCAAAGAAAAAATTTTCAGGAGAAAAAGTTAATTTTTTCCAGGGTGTGTGTCAAAAATAAATGTCTTTTAAGATTATCAATAAGAAGAGGAACATGCCAATATTCCTGCTTTATTAATAAATTAAAAATTGTAGAAAGCCTTCAACCAACCTCAATGGACAAATCTTTTGACAATGATAATAAAATTTTAGGAAGACCAGACTAAGTGTGAAAGGAATTAGAGGTGAGGTCATGTTCCCAATGATGGGATTGAGGATAGGGCAGGGCTAGTGCCCACTCTGCTGGGGAAAAGGATTCATCAGGCCTGGTCTCCAGGAGTTGGGGTAAGGGATGACAGGGCTTGGTCTTCTAGCTCTCTGGGCATGAGAAAAGTCCACTGGGAAGAAGTACTTTTCATGGAGGGAATTCATATTTTAGAACACCTCCTATAACCCTCTTGTATTATTCTAACCTCTCCTAATGAAACTTTGACAACTATATAGGTTATTTATGAACTCCTTCTCATAAAAAGTTATGTTAAGGTTCTTATTTGTTGTTGTTGTTGTGTTTTTTAAAATCATTGTTTTTGGAAATCCATTTTATACCAACACATTACACTGAGAGTAATTCCTATTAATGAAGTGTCCTCTTTAGTGACCTAAAGACAACACACTGAGTCAGCATATATCACATTTACATTCAGATGTTGCTTAGTTGTCTAGAAAAATATGTTTCACTACTTTCGGTTCAATATTACTATTCAAGTAGTGGGATGTGGAATCAGAACTAGTTCCTTTTGAGTGTAGTGATCATCAGAAACAACTGTATACACAAAACAAAGAAAATCTGTCAGCATATTAAAAACCATACTGTAAAAAGAAGTTTCAGAAAGTATAAAAGGACGAGGAAGGAAGAAAACAAAGAAAAGATAGAACTCTAAATCCATTTACTCCTTAACATTTAGAATTTAATGTAATGTGATCCATTACACTTTACAGATTCAAGTATGTTAAGATTTCTCAGGGACATGTTTTGTCTCTTTAGTGCAAATATACTTATCCTTGTAACTTTCAGGCATGGTCCATTCAAATCACAAGTACAAAACTCCTATTACTGAACAGTGTGAATTGTAATTAGGGAGAGCTTTTTTTCTTTTAAGATGCTCATCAACATACCATCAAGAACATTCCCTGAATCTCTTACAAGACAAAAAATGAGGTTTGCTATTGTGCATAAATGAAATTCTTTTATCCGTATGCTGAAATATACTTTTAAAAGCCCACAAATTGACTTTCCTATCCACATTTAATTTCATTTGGGTACACAACCAGTGCAAATTTAAGAACTGATATTCTAATCAAATAGTAGAGACCAAAAACAGATCAACTCGCGGTATTTATTTTTGATTGTCAAATTTTCTGATCTATTTTTTAATAAATGGAAAATCTTTGAATGTTTTGACTTAGCTTTTATCACTCTTGTGAAGTGAGGACTTGTGTATTGAAAGTACTCAAAAGCCCTTATATTCACTTGGTAAGAGAGCAAATCCTAATAATTAGGTTTAAGCCTTATTTATTATTTTACTAATGATTTTTATAAAAATGCTTTACTGATAAGATCAAGTTACTGATGTAGTAACAGAAGTTAATTAGCAACTTACAGGTGATTCGCGAAATTAACAGATTATTATCACTTTCTGCAATGGTTATTTTGAATTATTGGCTTACTGAATATTCTTACCTAATAATTATTCAGAAAAATAATTTAGAAAATTTAATTGGATATCTATTATTACATAAGAAAGACATCAAAAGCTAATTGTCAGAATTGTTTAGAAAATTACTTTGCATTTAAAGTGTATGAATTTAGTAGTAATGTTTTGCAGTAGATGTCATTACATTTTAATAAGCTTCCCCAAGCAGAAAACTTGTTCTTACTTTAGTTTTTTACACAAGGTGGCTTTACAGACATTAACTTAGTTCCTCCACCAATAAATTCTTTATTCTTCAGAGGTTAAAATGTTATGAACTCAAATTTGTCCAGCTAGGTAACCTTCCTATATGATCGTATATAAAATCCTGTAAGATAAATTCTGCTTAAAAAGTTGAACACTCTAGATCATTTAAACAACCAAAAATTATTTTGGAAATAACTCAGAAGTCACAAAGGGAGCTAGGTTGTTTGTTAAGTATTACATACTCTTCAATTATTATAATCATAAAAAAATAATAAAGGAAAGTAGTACATTCCCCTACATATTCCTAGCAATTACTTTAGGGTATTATAAGTTACAAAAGTGACTTATAAGTGAATAATTTTTCTGCTGCTGCTTCTCCTACAGCATCTGGGTTTCATGATAAAACCTGATGAGAAACAACATTATACTTAAGGAAAATATTCCAAGGTAAACCCAAAGACCAAATATACCACAATACTATTTTCAGAGGACTTTTGATAAATTATTCCAAAAACAGTTTTGCTTCAGGGACTTAAAAGCTTCTCTGTAATTATAAAGAAACTGAACCCCTCTCCGAGCTTATCATTTCTCCATCCAACACCTTCAAGTACCACTAGGAAGAACAGCAGAGGTTACAACTTCTTTTGTTTTGTTTTGTTTTGTTTTGTTTTGTTTTAAACTCCAGCATATCAGCATCAACTCAATACCCTCACAATAGTTTTGTGAGGTAGATGAGTAGGTAAATAGCAAGTATCATCTTCATTTCACGAATGAAGAAATTGAGGCACTGAGAGGTTACATAATTTGTCTGAGATATTGAATGGTCAGTCATGAAATGACAAACGGTATCGAATGATCTCTGTTCCTGGCCTACAGTCTGTAACCACACTTTACAGTGAAAGTCTGTGTGGGTTCTCAAATGGGCAGCCTGTATGACCTTTGACTGAGAATAAAATCTATCCATTTATAATTATTTAAAGGGGATTTAATCTCAAAGATCATAAAAATTAAACAAAATCAGGTAAGTAGGAAGATATACTATTCCTTTCAGTATCTGCATAGAACTGTCTTTTAAAAATTTACATGATAATACTAAGTAAAAAGCAAAATAAAAAATTTAAAATTATGATTCAAGGGAAGATTACCTTCAAGAAACATAAAAAACATAAAATCATATTGTTAGGGTGATCATATAACTCATTTTTAAACTGGGAAACTTCAGAGTGAAAGCGAGCACTATTAAAAATTATACAGAATAATAGGTGTTAAACTGAGACTTGTGGGCATGCTCAAGAATAGTCACCACTGGGTGAATCCATAGCAGGGATTGAGTTGCAAACATTTCAGGGATATAAAAAACTCTCTGGAAGCATATTGTGTTCAACTGTGCAATATTCACTGTGCAATAAAACACTGATGATTCAAAATGTAATACCCAACTTTGGCTTAAACACAAAAATTAAAAAACTCATTTTAAAATAATTAGCACGTTTAACAGTTAACACATATTTCCATTCTATAAACCAAAATTTAAGTATTAGTAAATGGATTCACTTTTTTCCTTAGAGTAACCAAATGTTATTTTCCACAAAGCATCAAGAGGCACCTTTAAAAATTAGAGAATTTTGTGGGACTCTTTGGCTATTAAAAAAAAAACAAATACAGAAACAACCCACAATTTACCATTAATGCTTCAGATTCTCTTTGAGTGGAACGATCCACACTTAAGTTAATACGCTGAATGATAAAGGTGAACATTTCTCCCTGAAATGAAAATCTTTCACAAAGCAATACCAAAAGCGTATAGTAATTTCCAGTTACTAGCAAAGACTGAAAGAATAATACATCACCCGACTATAGCATACATGCTAAAGATACTAATACTATCAGTTGAAGTATAATCTTAATTATACATGCAAAAACCTCACTGATTTGCATATAGAGTTGAAAAAGAGCTTTCTACATTCAGTTATGTCTGGTAAGTAAGCCTTGTTTTAAGACATGGGTTTTGTAAATACCATTACTATTTGAGGTCTCCATCTCTTTGGGAAATATGGGATTAACATATTCTTTAGAAACAGCAAAAATGTAAATCACAATAATAAAACCATATGATGTTATTTAGTTATGACTTACGGCTTTCTTGGATCTTTAAAACAACTTTCCCAAGAAAAACTAATATGAAACAAACCGAACTACATGTTCTCAACATATACCGATCTTTACCATGAATTGAATGCCTTCCACTACACCTGTACTTCCTAAGGCAGACACGTCAGGAACAGTGTGTAATAAACCTTACAAGAAAAGATGACACTCTATCCAATGGACAATAAACTATTATTACTAAGATGTGATTAACTTTCAGGGCCTTTTTTTGTCCTGACATTTTCACTAAGAGTACAGTATAAATTCTAGGGCACACATATGTTCTGAAAGACTGGATTGATGCATTGATCTTGGTTAGTTGTTCATAAATTTTCAGACTTTAAACATCATCAAATATTCTGCTTTGAGACATCGAGAGGTATCGTCCACCAGGCTGATACCTGAAAGGTGGATAAAGAAATGATCTGAGGCATCAAAAATAACAAAGGAGGAGAGAAAAACAAGGACACATTAAAAGGAAGTGGCTACATAATTTGTAGGCATAATTTATAAAATCTATTCAGTAGCTGAAGGCAGAAACTTACAAAGATAATATCCCAAAGAGATTTACTTACTTAATTATAAATTAACCAACAGCTTTTTTTAGAGCCTAGAATACCTTGTTTTCATATATAAAAAAAGAGATATAAAAAGAAAGGGATAGGGGGATATAAACTGAAGATTTAATAATCATTCTTGATTGTTCAATATAAATAGAATATTCTAGTGTTTTTGCTATTTATAGACAATACTATAGCAAATATCTCATGCATACGATATTTTGCTTTTGTTTAATCATTTCACAGAGTGGCCAAAACCACAGACCCTATAGCCAGAGTCCTGGGGTTTGAATGCCTGACTTTTGCCATTTGCAAGCTATTTTACTCTGAGTAAGTAAGTTACTAAGCCTCTCAGGATTCAAATCCAATTGGATTTATAACCATAAAATATAGTATTCATTGGTAATGTGCTTAGAATAGTATCCAATACCTAGTGATGACCATGTAGCTATTGCTAAATATGATAAATTTCATAAATGGGATCATTAGAAATAGGCATATAAACATTGTTAATAGTCTTACTAACAATTTCAATTCTTCTTTCTTATTTAGAATACCACTAGTGGTTTATGGAGATAGTAATTTCAATTACCACCACTGGATGCTATAATTTTTACAATATAAAAGCATTAGAAGGTATAAAAAGCTACCAAGGGTTAATTAATATGATTATTATTAGCAGTAAAGATGAACATTTTCCTTATGTTTATTTCATCAAGTTTTATGTTATTAAAATTCCAGAATGTTGGAGCCAAAATGATACAGTCAGAGCTTACCTTCCCGATTCAGATTCCAGAGGATCATCAGTGAATGTTTCTGCATTAAAATCCAAAGGTTCTACATCTTGGAGGAGTTCTATTCGGTCCCTTTCAGTTCTGTTACTGGCCCTGGTATATTTGGATGCTGCTGTAAAGGAATAAAAAAAGATCTGTCTACTTTTCTATTGTCCTCATGGGTCACAGTCTATGGACTCACAAAAAAAAAAGTCAAGATTTTAAAGGATCTGAATTTTGATTGTGAAGATAATAGCAAGAAAAGATAATTACTTGATTCCTTCAAAATCAGATTCAAATGAAAAATGGTATGATAGAAAATAACAACTGGTCTTGTAACTGGTCTAAGCTCAGAAGCAGGTACAATGCAAAGAATTAATATGAATCAGAATTAACATTTAACATATGAATCATGACATTGTTCATTATCAAGTTTCAAATGGTTTCATGGTTGAATCCAGGGGCTCCCATATGTCAGTTCTTGGCTAGAATTTTCTCAAGCTCTTTAAGAAAGGCCTGATTCTTTTCCCCAGGAGATAAGAGTTTAGGGTAGCTAAGTCCAACAGAAATAAAATGCAAGCCCCATATTTACTTTTAAATTTTCCAGTAGTTACATAAAAATGTAAAAAGGAACAGGTGAAATTAATTTTAACCGATTTAATTTAATTCAATATATCTAATATATTATCATTTCAACATGGGGCGTCGGCCATGTTGCAAATGCTCAACGGCCACAGATGGTTAATGACGACCATCATGATCACTTCAGATTTACACAACTAAGTCTCCCTTCTCTATGTGGACAGGGTGGGTTTTCTTCATAAACAACCTAAATTTTCACAATGTTCTGAGTAATTCAATAACTTCAGAAGAACTTTATGATACAGCTCTTTTTGAAAACTTAAGGCAAGCCAAGTCTATCATATCTTATACTTTTGTTATCTTGGACTCTGCCCTTCATCTTTTCTCTCATTCATTCAGCAAATATTGGTTGCCTCCTGCATTCCGGGTTCTCTTCATGGCATTATCCAAAGGCGTTGTATTTCTTCTTCTCTTGACCATTCTCCTACACTCCCACATCTCTACTGTGTCAACTCCTACACCGCGGTAAGCAAACTTCCAAATCTTTGTAGAATCCTCTTTCTTTCTTCTTAGCTTTGACTACACCTTTAGCTCTCTCCTGTTTCTTTGACCATAAATCTCACTCAAACACATCCTTTCTTCCTCATGTCTAGGGGTCACTGCTGATTTAAAGGCCCTCATCATTTCTTGATCGCATTACCAAAACAGAGAACTGATTTCTGTGTCTCACTTCCCTGGAAATCATGCTTTATGTTGCTATCAAACTATCTTTTGAAACCAAAAATGTGTGCATGCTCCTTTTCTGACTAAAATCTTAACTTGGGAGAGAATCTTAACTTCTGAGCATGGTAATACCTGCTTTCCAACTGTCTCTGCAGCTTCCCCTCTTTAAATTTTTTTTTTTTAATTTTATGATAGTCACACAGAGAGAGAGAGAGAGAGAGGCTGAGACACAGGCAGAGGGAGAAGCAGGCTCCATGCACCGGGAGCCCGATGTGGGATTCGATCTCGGGTCTCCAGGATCACGCCCTGGGCCAAAGGCAGGCGCCAAACCGCTGCGCCACCCAGGGATCCCCAGCTTCCCCTCTTTATCAGGCTTCTCCTACTCAGGATCTTGTCAAAGAAACAAACTTGCATTCTCCCAAAGGTTCTCTGAAGTCATTCATTCATCCTTCTGCCCAAAACACCTTCACCTGGATAAGTACTATTCATTTCCAAATGTTAAGTTAACGTTAATCTATCACAGAAATCCTTTCTCAATAAAGACCTCTTTTTCTATCCCCTAAGTCGAGTTCCCTCAGCATCAGGAGTATACCCTTCTACTCTCTCAGCATTCCTGCCTCTTCCCCAAAGACAAACATCCTCTGCCATCTACTCTGGGCAGAGTCCTGAGCAAATACAGGTTTCTTGCTACCTTCCCAGGTGCAGATGTCAGGGACAAGGATGTGGGGAGGTGTCCTAGCTCAACCCACTGGCAAACATCTTCTCCTTATTATCAGTCCCTCACTGAACTAATTATCATTCCAAGGACAGGAACTATATCCCTATAAACCTGGGAAAGTACCTGATATATTGATCAGTCAGGAAATGGTTATAAAAATGACTGAATTGCCTACACCCATTAACAGAAAAATTAAAGAACAGCATCGGGGAAATAGTAGAAACCAACATGTACCTAAGACATACCTGGGGTAAGTACTGATATTATTTAAGGTAGTATATTATCCCAATTCTCCATCTCCTACCAGAATGCATATTTGAGTTTCCCTTTCCCTCTATACACTAAGGGATGAAAAAGGAAAGACAGAACCACATCTACAGTTCTCTAAAGGCATTTTTTAAAAAAATATTTTATGTATTTATTCATAAGAGACACAGACAGAGAGAGACAGAGACATAGGCAGAGGGAGAAGCAGGCTCCCCATGGGGAGTCCAATGTGGGACTCAATCCCAGGATCACGACCTGAGCTAAAGCCAGACACTCAACTGCTGAGCCACCCAGGTGCCCCTCTAAAGGCATTTTTGGATGGATTTCTTAATCCTCAGTCTCTATGCAACCAAGTTTAAGAAACAATTTCTAAGGGAATTGGAAAATAAACTACTTACATCGGTTGGTACTAAGATCTGAGAGGTTTGACTCTTTTGGGTCAACATGAACATTTCTGTTTCTAGTGGAGTCTTCTCTACTGTGTCCATAACGTTCTTTCCATTCCTAGGACAGAAACATAAATAAATATATGTAGCAAAGGAACTCAAAGGTAGAAAGTAATTCATCAGTGTCAATAGATAGTACATAGAGATAATATGATTTATTTTCATCAGAAATTCACCACATAATCAGTATGTTAGCATAGCACCATGAAAATTTTCAAAAAAATTTTTTCTTTGTCTCTACATGATTTTAATATGGTCTCCAAACATTTTTCCAAATGAACACTTATAGACATTTTCACTAGTTATAATTAACCTTTTCAATTCTATCTAAAATGTCAAAAGGATATGATAGCTATGATAGGCTTACCTTGACCACATAAAAATTATGAGAACTCCCATACAAATCAACTACAAATATCGAGACCTGAAAAGTTACTTTCGAAAGCAAAATTTGAGTTATATACAAAGATGATTAGGTCATTGTAGTCAAACCTTATGAAGTGGGATGCTACTCAGTCAATTCATAGAACTGAAAGGAACCTCACAGGTCACCTAATTCGACCTCCCCTGCATTGTAGGGGTTCATTCTAAAATAGCCATGCCATTGGCTCTCTTATTAGAGGGTATGAAGTTTCTATGTGTGAGCAGCTCATCACAATTTTATGTGTGTGTGTGTGTGTGTGTGTAAGCCCATCACAATTTTGATAAACTATGGAAGTTAGATATTTTCACCAAGAGTTGAAATCTATCTGCAGTATCTTTCACTCTCTGGTTCCAATTATGTCTTCTGAAATAAAGAACAAGTCTCCTTTTACATGCCACACACTAACATATATGGACAACTATCATGTCTCCTCCTCTGAGTCTTCATTTCTCCAGTATAGATTAGCCCCAGCTATTGTAATTTGTGGTAACCACACTAAATTTTTCTGATTTTCTGCCTTTTCTCTCTATAGGAGGAGGTTAGTTTGCCTCAGCAGAGGACTAAAGAAAAACTGAAGAGGAATATAATTAATGTCATATTATAAAAAAGCATTAACAATTTTAAAGCAATCAAAATGACTTTAATAATAAGACTGCATGATTTTATTAATTCATTCAATAAGTATTCACAAAGCACTGAGCTTAGGCAAGAAACTGCTAGACACTGGACACAAAGTAACTTAAAACTAGTGACTTTTTAGAACAGGTCTGACCAAAAAATGCTTAGCATGTACATCTGAAAGTATTAAAATTACCCTTTTAAAAAAAAAAACGTGTCGTATGTCATTTTCCCACTGCTCTTTGGTCTTTAGCCAATTGTAAATCAGTAAAATTCTTTTTTTTTTTTTAAATGACCTCTGAATTTATTTTATTTATTTTTTAAATTTTTATTTATTTATGATAGTCACGGAGAGAGAAAGAGAGAGAGAGAGAGAGAGAGAGAGAGGCAGAGACACAGGCAGAGGGAGAAGCAGGCTCCATGCACCGGGAGCCCGACGTGGGATTTGATCCTGGGTCTCCAGGATCACGCCCTGGGCCAAAGGCAGGCGCTAAACCGCTGCGCCACCCAGGGATCCCTAAATCAGTAAAATTCTTATGATTATTTCACATCAGTCTTTAGGTTACAACAAATTATTAAGTACTATACTTACTCTTCTTCGATTTTCACCTTCTTCTTGCCTTTGTCTTTTTCTCTTCTCTAGAGACAGAAAAGTGGTCTCAAATTTGGTATAATGGGTTTAATTAGACGTAGAGTAACTGCAGTAAAGGTATCAGGCTATGACCAATTTCCTTTAAATTACTACAAAGTCAAAAGTAATAGGTTATTGTTGGAAAGGACCTTAGAGGTCACCTAAGTCCACAGAGGATATCTTCTATATTTCTGTTGGACATGACCTTTAGGCCATGTGTAAATAGTTTTTAGTGAGGAAAACATTCTTCCTCATGGTGATCTGAAATTTGTTGGTAACTTCTTTTTCTTTGCCTTATCTTCTAAATTAAGGTGATATTTTTTTCTGCATAAAAGTCCTTTCCCTTATTCTCTTCAGGCTATATACTCACAGTGGTTTTTTGTTTTGTTTTGTTTTTGTATAAGTTACGCTCTAGAGACTCATAATTCTGGCTGTCCTTCTCTAAATACCTTCTAACTTATAAGTTCTACTCTTGAAATCTTACCCAGGACTGAATACAATATTCCACATGAGGTCTAATTAATGCAAAAAGCAGCAGAACCATTACATCAACTGGACTCCACCTTTCTCAGAATGTGAAGACTATGACAGCTTTTATTGGAGTCACAACATATTTTGGCTTCCATTTAACTAAATGATCACACAAAAGCTCCAGACTCACGGAGGGAGAATGTCTAGGAAGCAATGTCCCCACACTCAAGTTTTGTTTTCTTTTTTCCCTACCATCACTTGAACCTAAGGAAATTTGATATATTCAGTGTCTGGATTAGATTTTAGTAGAGTGCAATGTATTCTAATAGGTTGTTAATGATCATTGCATTCTCAAAACCAGCCTAGGCTTGAATGATTTCCTGTGTGGTATTAAACTGATGATTCTTTGAATTCATGAATTTTATAGTTGTACTGAGCTCGGCAAATCCATTTCCAGGAAAATATGAAAGTAACTCCAGTGCCATCCAAGAGCATTATTTAGTTGAGGGCATACTAAATTTCTGCTGTAGTATTTCTTAAAGACAGATGAGAGTTTCAAATTTTTTTTATAGTTTATAGTTTCAAATTATTTTTATAGTTTCAAATTATTTTTATAGTTTCAAATTATTTTTTATAGTTTCAAATTATATTTGTTATGAAGGTGTTTATGTAGAATTTTAGCTAAAAAAACATTAATTTCTTAAGAGATTAAAAATTACAAATTATACAAATACTAATTCGTATTTTGAGTCTTAGAGTTTTCCTTTATTTTAAAAGACAAATCTTACCTCGTCTGATTAATTCTTTTCCTTCATCAACCAAGTCTGATGTCATATCATTATCTCCCATGAACTGCTGGAAACCAAGTAGATTCAAACAACGAGTTCCCAAACTAATAAAAGTAGATTTTTAAAAAGGCAAGCATTATTTCTCATTGTAAATGTTTAAACTCTTCTTTGGTATTGTCATTCCAAAGAAGCCTATGTTTTATTATTACTTATCACAGCAAGTTATGTAGTTATAATAATTTGTCTTTCTTTAAGAAGGACTTATTTCTCTTTCTAAGAAGTTTATATACCCAGTATTCCATTAACAAGGTATGCACCATACCCAGATTTCTTACAAAAACACACTGAGTTGGGTTATTTGTATACCTTCAGAAAATTATTACACAAGAATACAAAACAATGGCTCTAATACAAACGCAATTTGTTCTTTTCTTATATTCACACAATTTTAATGCTGAAAATACACAAGTAGCATTTTTAAGTATAAAACGTGGTTTAGAAAATCTTAATTATGAAAATTAATTTTCCTGTTCAATTTTTTTAAATAACCTGAAAGCTAGTCAATTCCATTTAAATGGATTTTATTATACACTCAGAATTTATTATTATGTCTTACCTGAGGGCTATTATTTTATCCTATTTGCTGTTTACTTTAAACCTCACTGTTGTATAGGACAAGAGTACTCTGAAAATATGACACATTACACTGAGGAAAACAGTGGAGCGATTACAAGAAAGTAAAGGTCTCCCATTTTACACAACTGATGTGTAAGAAATACAACTAATTCATAACATATCTCCTTGCTTTAATATATAAGGAATGCTTTATATGATTTATCATTGAGCAAAACTGGGGTTTCAGATAGATAGTTATGCTAATTCTGTGACACTAAATACTTCCTTACTATCTTCACACCCTTGTGGGAATACAATACTCTAGGACGAGAAACCGGAATTAGATAATTATTTCTGGGAAGGTCATAGCTTTTTCTAGTGTCAGGAAATAGCCTTACACTCTTTAGGCAGTTAAGTCTAAATATTAACTCTAGGGATGGCTGTGTTGTTAGTAACATGGGAATTAGTAGGGTGCCTGGGTGACTCAATCGGTGACAAATTAAATAACTCTTGATCTCAGCTCAGGTCATGATCAGAGTGGTGGGATAGAGCCTTACGTTGGGCTCCGTGCTCAGTAGGGAGTCAGCTTGAGATTCATTCTCATATTCTCTCTCTCTCTCTCTCTCTCTGTTTCTGCCCCTCCCCCTCTGTGCATGCTCTCTCTCTAAATCAATCTTAAAAAACAAAACATGAGAATTAGACTAATTATGGCAGCATTTCAAAAGAAAATGGACCTATGAAGCAAGTTATTACTAAAATGTCACTAAGGCACTGTTTCATATATCTCTATAATAGAATATTTTGAGAGATAATTTGAAAATTGAAGAATCTGACCTTTCTTTTCCTAAAAGACAAACTGGCACTCAAAGTTAATCCCAATTAACTCTAAAATAATACCTTTAACGGATTAATAATTTTCCTTTTAGATACAATAACTCTTTATATTTACGATTTTATAGTTGATAAACCACTATCCCACCCATCTATTCCTTGATCCGTGTAACACCCTAATATAAAGTAGGAAGATATGCTAATTTTGCCAACAAAACTAACATGTGAAGACACAGATCAAAAGCTCTTAATGTTTCATTAGTAATTTTATAAACCTTTAAAATAAATAAGCATATAATCAAAATTAAGTCTTTTTAAATTTTTTAAAATTTATTTATTTATGATAGTCACAGAGAGAGAGAGAGAGAGAGAGAGAGGCAGAGACACAGGCAGAGGGAGAACCAGGCTCCAGGCACCGGGAACCCGATGTGGGATTCGATCCCGGGTCTCCAGGATCGCGCCCTGGGCCAAAGGCAGGCGCCAAACCGCTGCGCCACCCAGGGATCCCTCAAAATTAAGTCTTAGACATGCAAAGTGTGGTTTCCTCCTTTACTACCTCATTTTCACAATGATGACACATTTCACAAACCTATTGTCTTTTTTACCTTATAGAAAAAAATCTTGAAAGTTAGATTTTCTATGAGTTCATATTAACAGTTTTATTTTAAAATATAATCTTTTATTTTAGCTATAAGAAGGTAAAATATAAATGTTTTAAAACATTCAATAGAGAATTTATTTCAAAGGATACTTGACTTTACTCAAAATCCTCTTAATGAATACATACATATTATTTGTAATAGCAATAGAATGGTATCAAAAGATTTAAATGAAAAGTGGTTAGAAGAAACATTTTCATCGGAAAGGCAAACTGATGGACATCAATAAATATTTTTTCAGGGGCACCTGAGTGGCTCAGTTAGTTAAATGTTTGACTCTTCATTTTGGTTCAGGTTGTGATTTCTGGGTGGTGGGATCAAGCCCTGCCGTCAGGCTCATACTCAGTGGGGAGTCTGCTTAGTATTCTCTCCCCTCCCTTGGTCCCTCCCTCCCTTACACCTGTGTTCTCTTGCTCTCTCTCTCTAATAAATAAATCTTTAAAAATAAATAAATAAATATTTTTAAGATTTTATTTATTTATTTGACACAGAGAAAGAGATCACAAGCAGGGGGAACTGCAGGCAGAGGGAGAAGCAGGCTCCCCATCAAGCAGGGAGCCTGATGTGGAGCTTGATTCTAGGACCTAAGGATCACAACCTGAGCCAAAAGCAGGCACTTAAATGACTGAGCCACCCAGGCACCCCAGTAAAAATTTTTTTTAAGAACAATCTTTTTGGTGTATCACAGAACACCTAAGCAGTTGGGTGAAGAGGGCAGATACAGTACAGGATGATGGCTCTTGACATGTGGAAATAGGGAAGACAGGGTGTTAGAAGCCAAGCATATTTACCTCCTTTTGAGTTGTACCCTTGCCAAGATTCAATTATTTTCTAATCCTATAAAAAGTGGTAGGCTGTGTCCTTTCCAGCCTTATATGTACTGCCCAATTACAATCGCTCCTCACATGATATTTTGTGCTGGCTAACGTCTAAGACATCTAGAAACCCAGCAATGATTGTGGGGAAAGCCTTTAGACTCATTTATGTTACTGGATAAAAAGTGGGCATGGGATTATTTTATAAGTTAAATCAACTGTCAGGTGTTGAAGGCCAGGACTTAGAGTTGACATTCTGTAATCAATCCTATCACTTGTAGCCTAAATACTTATAAAAGAATGACTGTACTTCTCTTTTCTTAAAAATACCTTCAGAGTGAAAACCTGTCCTCATCACTTAAGCAAATCCTTTAAACTACCTACAGTTCCCCGAAAGCCACAATAAAACAAACAACAACCAAAACCTGACCAGTAAATATTTAAAAACAGCTTTGAGACAGGATATCCAGATTGGACAAGAGTAGGAGGAAAAATTATCAATGTTAAGTTTCTTACCTAAAGTAAGTAGCAATGCAGAGAATTACCACCAACATAGGATAATATATATAGAATCCATCTGCGATAAAGGATAAAACTTTCATGGAACCCATAATCTAACAATCCAAAGGAAAAAAAGGAAGTTAAATTAGTACAGTTCTATATTTTTTATTACTTTCCACCTTTAAAAAATTCACTCTTAACCCAGCATATTAACAAATTTGGACTTTTCGAAAAGTAGAAATAAAGCTCTAAATGGATTGATTTTTAAGTTCTCATTATAAGAAAAAAAAACTGTGATGTTAACTAAAGATACTGTGGCACTCATTTCAAAATATATACATACATCATATCATTCTGTTGTATATTTTAAACTAATATGTTATATGTAAATTATTTCTGAATTTGCTTATTTATTGAGGTTTTCATCTAAAGAAAATATTTTATAAATATTACTGAAATTTATTGTGTACATTAAGATCATAAATATAAAAGCTAATATTATAGATGAAGTCTATTGATATTGCTCAGTTGCACAAGCAATGTGAACCAAAAAACTTTTTTTACAATAAAAGAGAGCAAAATAATTTTTATCCAGTCATTAGTAGTTACATATACAACCTTTAAAAGAAAGTTTGATATTAAAAAGAGATCCTAATAACACTACAAAACTTTTTTGCTGGCATTACAAGAAATTCCACAGTATGGGACACCTGGGTGGCTCAGCAGTCTGCCTTTGGCTCGGGTGTGATCCTGGAATTCTGCGATCGAGTCCGACATCAGGCTCCCTGCGTGGAGCCTGCTTCTCCCTCTGCCTATGTCCCTGCCTCTCTCTTTCTGTGTCTCTCATGAATAAATAAAATATAAAAAAAATTCCACAATAATACATCTCATAGAGACAATCTTAAAAAACTGTTTTCTGACTATACTTACAGATGTATAAGCAGTTGGCTGGGTATTCTGGTGAGAGATGGATGAATCCATATGGGTCAAACCCAAGAAATTAAGACACAACGGAGGAGTCAAACGGCAAAATAACCTGTAAAAACGCATTTATAAACAGAATATGTAAAAAAAGAATAATAGCAAAATACATTTTACTATATTGAAATATAACTATTATTTCCATCAGTGTGTATATTTACCTTGAATTCTTAATGTGAAATGTCCTTACCTGAGAGATATTCTGAAAATCCTATTAATTGCATCTCCCTAAAATACCAACACCCACACAGCAAAACTCCAGCCTCAGACTGCCTGCTTTGATGGTGTTTGCTGCTGCTTTATCCTAAGAATTTGTGGAGTGCTACATATGCACTTTTTTCAAGTCTACCATCTGTGTAATCTGTCTCAGAATGGCAAGGACAGCAATATCCTAAGGGGAACTGGACTTACTAAATTTCTTAGCAAAGATTATTCCTGTTTGTTTTCTCAAGCTCTCATAATGCAGTTTGATGCCACCAAATCTCAGAACTCTCTAGGTCTGACTTAGCCCCCAAATTTTCAAATGATCCTAATATTTACTAATCTATTTACTGAATCTCTGATTTGTAAATCCAGGCTGTCTTTCTTTTCCTCTCTAACCTAGCAAACCTATTATAACCTTAAGCTTCAAGCAGGATTTAGTCAGCAAACATCTAACTAGTGCTTGAACCTAATCAATGAGCTCACATAGATACAGGTGCTAGTGGAACACCCATAAACAAGAAATAAGTGAGAAATCCATAGAATGCATGCAATGGAGTCACCCGCTTGTCTCTATACACAGTCCTACTTACATGCCACTGAAAAGAAGGCTGTAAGCATCAGTTTGGTGATGTGAAGCCAAGTAATAATAGTTAAATACACGAATCCTGAACACAGTAGAATAAACACAGATGCTCAGAAAAAAGATGGAAAGGAAACAAGCAATCTGAAAAAGAAGCAAAACCAGCTTAAGACTAATCGACTTGGGTACTTTATATACTTTTCATAAGCAGTATCCCTTATTTCCGACTAACATTTAACATCCTAAAATTTAAACACAGTAACAGTTTTTCTTAACCATCTAAGAAAATGAATTTATAAAAAAATCTACATCTCAACCAGTTCAACAACCTGTCCATGAGTTTCAAATCTACCTCCTAAAGTGCGCCCATTCTCCCACTCCCTTGGCAATTCTCCATATGAAGACTCTAAATTATATAGCTTCACTGGCATAAAGAGGGTCAAGGTATTCTCATAAAAGGATTCTGTACTATTTTGCACCTTGTCATCTTCCCTCAAACACAGTTTAGTTTACATAAATGGATGAAGCTCATTTTTGAAAGTCTGAAAGGGAACTTTACTGCTTTCATTGTTAGTAAAATAAATACAGAAAAAATAACAGTTGACAACTATACTATGAACTGACACGTGTTTATGACAGAAATGAAATAAACTGACCTCAATATAAATATAATTGTACGTTTTTTCAGCCAGCTGTATGAAGACTGCAAAGAGGGATAAGACAGGTGTAGTGCTAAAAAATGTGCATTCTGACCACACAACAATCACAGAGAAGATGGACAAAACCACAGCAAGTATCCTATAAAACCATGGTCGCAAAAGACATTCCCAGTACCATTCTGGAAGATAAAAGAAAAAAATTAGGAAAACCATTAAAGGAGTAAGTAGGTATTTACATTACTTCAAAATATCCCCAAACAAGATCTATAACTGCAAAGAGGAAAACAGTTAAGTTCACAATGGAGGAACCAGGCAGATTTGGCTCCTCGCCAAATAATCACCAGTAATGGGACAAAGTAACATCATGTGCCTCCTGCCATGAAGCACTGAGAACACAGTATCACTGCCACCGTATTCCCACCCAAAATGTAAAGCCTGCATCCAACATGAGGAAATATCAGACTCAAACTCAGGGATACCCAATAAAAAACTGGCCTAGAGTCTCCAAAAATATCAACGTCATAAAACAAAAAGAAGCTGAGAAATTGTTTCAGATTAAAGGAAACTAAGGCGACATGACACTTGAGTGTGCTGCATTTTAAAAATCTGGGATTTTTTTTTATAAATTTATTTTTTATTGGTGTTTGATTTGCCAACATATAGAATAACACCCAGTGCTCATCCCATCAAGTGCCCCCATCAGGGCCCGTCACGCAGTCACCCCCCCCCCCACCTCCCCTTCCACCACCCCTAGTTCGTTTCCCAGAGTTAGGAGTCTTTCATATTCTGTCTCCCTTTCTGATATTTCCCACTCATATTTTCTCCTTTCCCCTTTATTCCCTTTCACTAAAAAATCTTGAATTTTTAACAAAGAATATTTTGGGATAATTTGATTAAGGTCTATAGATAACAGTTCCATATCAAAGTTCATTTCCTGGTTTGATCATTGTATTTGGTTATATAAGAAAATGTCCTTATTTTTAGAAATTCTACACTGAAGCATTTAGGAGAAAATGGCATCACGTCTGGATTCAACTCTGAAAAGATTAAGGAAAAATACATACACAGAAAGAAAGATAAATTCGGGTAAACCATTACCATGTGGAGAATCTGGGTGAAGCATATACAAGAATTATTTGTACTATTCTGGCAATTCCCAGTTAAGTCTGATTTTAGGTATAAAAAATAAAAATAAAAGTAAAAAAAAAAAAAGAAAAAGAAAAAGAAAAAAGCTCCCCAAATTGAAAAGGCTATATTTTCACTTCATTCACTGAGGTACTGAGTTCTGAGCTCACACACTAAAAATTTCAACCTTACTCTCAGCACAATTCCTGGTGAGCTGATGGTCCAAACTGATGATCCTTTTTTTAGTCCCTTTGGAGTCTTTCACTTCCTTGCCCTCCTTTCCTCCAGAGGTCTCATCTCCACCCCACCTTTGCAACTCACGCACACCCGTCATCCCTAAGCCTCTCACTGCCAATAACTCCCACCCTTCCTTTTAATCTTATTACTGGGTCCCTGTTTCCAAGCAATATCTTCATCTAATATTCCAATTCCACTGACTGACCTTACCTGCACCAATGATCCATTCATTCTAGCACCTCTGTATTGCCCTTAAGGCCCTGGTACCCTATTGCTTTCTTTACCAGCTCAGATTCTATAGTCTTTGAGGAGAATTAGTCTCCAACATCCCACTTTCTTTGCCCTCTCTTGCTTCTCTGCAGTTGCTAATTGAAGCCACACCCTGGTCAGATCCAACTCTCCAGCTGCTCTGAGCCTGCACCCATAGAGCTGCACACCGCAGAAGGGAGACACACAACTTTGCTGACTGGTCTCACTTAAACTCTTACTTCCCAGCTTCAGGCGGACCTTGAGCACTGCCTGGCTAGCCAATTATAATTCACCAATCTTCTCCCAGGCCTTCTCTCCTTAGCAACTATTTTGTACCTTCCCTTCTCTCTTCAAATCTCCCAAATCTCTTCTCCTATACTTACTCTTAGCATTTCACAGAGAAGCTGGCAGAAGGGAGCCTCCCCAAGTTCCCACTACCACCTCTTCTTACCTGCTCAGGTACATTTGTGCCTTACTTCCTAATCTAAGGGGATTCTCTGCACTGTTCTGTTCACTATTTCCCATTTCATGGCTCCTTCTCATGAACATCAGCAGAGCCATGCTCCTCTCTCATTACATTTCCTCCAAGACACTGTTCCCAAATTACATGCTATGATTGATCTTGACCCTGCCATCCTCCTTCAGCTACTACTTCTTTTCTCTACTCCCTTTTATAAGGAAAACATTTTACATTTTCTATTCTCTGCCTCTTAATTGCTCTTCTTATTTCTTTTAAACTCCAACTAAGCTTTCTTATCCCCTCAACCTCCACCTCACTTCCCTGAAATCCAATGGCCAAGGCTTCATGTGACTGTAGACCCATCTACAACATTTGGAAAGGTGCTTTACATACCCCTTTCCTCAAAACACCTCACCATCCTGCTTTACTTCCTACTTCACTGGCCACTTCTCTTTTAGCCTTTTTCCTGGTTCCTCCTCATCAACCCAATGTTTACATTCTGGAATGCCTCGATTTGGTCCTCTGACTTTCTCTCGCTTTTATCATTTACTTCTTTGTTGATTTTATTCTGACCCATAGCCCACTGATATGATACACTGATGATGCCTGATTTTTACTTGTAGACCAGACTTCTCCCCTGAATTCCCATTTCTACAGCCAGCTACCTACTCAGCACTTTCTTCACACCTCTATGTATACATTGTCTATTTTTCTCACTCCATAAAGAGGAATTTTCATCTTTACACTTACTGATAAGTAAGTACCTAAGCACCCAACGATGGATAACATATATGTTCTCAAATACTTGTCAAATGAATGAAAATAAGTATTTCTTTTATTTAATTAGAAAAGATCTTTGCTAAAGGAGTTTTCCAAAATACATTATGGGCATTGTCTTCATACTCAAGACCAAATATGAGAAAGAGAACATAAGGTTTATTTAGAAAAATAAGGTAAATGGAATTGTTAATACTATGACACTTTGGCATATTTTCATTAAGTTCTTCATACTAAATCTGATAATGTTTGAAAAGAGTGTGACAAACGATCATTAAAGAGAATGAAATAGGTGCCTCAGCAGTTGAGTGCCTGCCTTCAGTCCAGGATGTGATCCTGGAGTCCCAGGATCAAGTCCCACACATTGGGCTTCCTGCATGGAGCCTGCTTCTCTCTCTGCCTGTGTCCTTGCCTCCCTCTCTGTGTGTCTCTCATGAATAAAAAAATAAAATCTTTAAAAAAAAGAGAGAAAGAAATAATTACAAATACTCAGTGTAGGTCTTGTAAATAGACCAATAGATATAAATAATCAAAGACTTGTTAGGGAAATATTTTAGTAGTATGTCAAGACTGAAGAAGAGACCCAAGCTTATGATATAAAATTGCTTAAAATTCTAACTTTTTAGAGTATGTATTATGAATACATAATATGCTTGATGCATTGCATATATTTTTGGATAGAATTTTGGTTAACTGTAAAGTAACAGTAGAAACTGATAATCTGTTATATAACCAGTAAAATATTTTTAGAGGGGAGGTTTATCAAATATATAGTACCACATAGTATATATCAAATAATACAAATATGATTCAACTCTGCACTTAGAAAAATTATCATTAAATTTTGAAATTATGTCAAATTACGTACCAACTGTAGGATTATAAAAATATTGGATAAATTTGTTTTCTGGCTCTGGTGACTGAAAGGTATGAACAAACTGACGAGTAGCACTAGTTTCATTTTTTGCTACATCTTCTAGATAAAATGCTTGCTCCAAAAGAATCTGCCATTGTACTTGAGTTCGACGGTGCCTCTGAACTGAATAAATCACCTAAAAAAGAGAACAGGAGAATATATCTTTCAGTGTTCTGATCCCGCAGTGTTTCATCTTCCTGCCAGACAGCATATTTTGGTTCTCATAACAATGGGGAAGTGTCAGTGGCACTTGCTGGGTTGAGCCAAGGATGTTAGTATTCTACAACACATGTAACAATTAGGTTCAGTGAATAATTCTCCTTCCCCAAATACCAACAGTAACCCCGTTAAGAAACACATAGTTAAAACACTTCAAAAAGAAAAATGCACAGGATCAAAGAAAGTTTCAAATACACATTCACTCCAAATTCCCTTTACGTGGACAGTAATTATAAATCTAACTAAAATTATCAGTAAGTAAAAAAAGCTATTATTAATAAAGTTACCTGTTTATGTAGTTTTACCAGACTCTTTTCACTTGGGTAGGTATTATGCTTTTCATCAAAATCTTCATAATCATCCATGTTCCTACCCATTTTTTCTTGATATTCTGTAGGGCACTAAAAGGGATAAGCAGATTTTTTAAAGTCTCATTTTCAAAAAACTTAAAAATTTTATTTTTATTACAAAATCTTCTATTCTTGGGCATGTCCAGTATTCTCAAAAACATCATCTTCTTTCATTGGCATCTCTAGATAGTTGGATTTTTAGTTCCTGACATTTTCTTGAAAATGATTTAGATATATTGTCTTCCTTCTCCTATTAGTATTAATCTTTATTATCAGATATACTAGCTGTGGTAGGGTAAGGGAGTTACCTACATGAAGCAACAAGTATCTGAGAGGATTAGGTTATGTAGGCACATGATGAAACTATTATTTTCCTACGTAAAAATGAAGAAGAATCATAACAAATCCAAGATGTTGGATTTTTAAAAGGCATGGTGCAGAAAAACACACGATTTGGGGTCATCTGTCTTGTTAGTTATTCATTACTTACCTGAACTTGGGCAAGTTACTTAACCTCTCTGAATAGGTCTCAAAAGGTAGCATTGTAAGAGAAATGATTAGAGAATTGATTCTCATGACCATCATCTTAGTCAAAGGGAATACTAGCTAATAATCAGCATAACAGATTTAAAATATAGGAAAAGAAATAGTTCAGTGGTTCTATGGTTGCAAAGACAATGACTGAACAGCTCATTTTTGGAACAATCATTTTGGAAGTATACAAATACCCCAATTCAATCCCAATGCAGTAAAACCTTAATTGTATAGCTTCTTGTTAAATATCTGTCTTAAGTATCCCATAGGGTCATTCATTTTACGATGTACTTCATATATTGTAAACTGACATGAAGGGAGCGAGTGAAAGAGATTACTGAGGCCCTAGTTTATTATAATGACCACATTCAATGACACTTAGAAACTGTGACGGTCCATCTCTATTGCTGCATCATAGCAATCAGTATACATATTAACGTAACTTCTACATCCAGATTTCAATGAAAAATATTGCCAATAATTAAATGTTAAACTTGTAATAACTACTGAACAGATTCTATGTGCAGATTACTACCGGTTTATGGTTAATATTTCATTGAAAATGGAAAGGATATGGGAAAACCTGAGTCACAGGCTGTTCTCATACTTTTCTGATACTTTTATTATAATATTATATTCTACAAATTTGTATGTCAAAAGAAAAAAGATGAGGATTATAACTAATCACCTTTTTAAGAATCGTGTCAACACATTTTCTCAATGGGTGGTTATACTTGATGCTGTCATTCACTTTACGAACCTCCTATAAAAAAGAGTAAGAGGAATAAAAATATTTCCATTTCTATACATCATATGCTTCAAATGAAACTGTTCTAGGTACTATATATGTTCTCACAAGTTTAATTTCAACCCAAATTACTCAGCGTACACATGAAGCTCCATTCACTGATTAAGTTATTGAGAATGTAAGTAAAAATACAGAATTATAGGATAGCAATACCTATATCCTCATGTTTTTTACTACTTTCTAAGATTTATTCCCTTATCATTTGCTGACTTGTACACAATGATGAGCAGGCATTATAAAAAAGCCATGAAGGATCAGACAAACTTTGCAATGTACTCCTCCACCAGGAAGCTCAATTATCTAATCATCTAAAATACGGTGAAGAAATCAGAGGAAGCAACAGGAAACAAACATCACAAAGCACCTGCCCCTTTCCAATGAGAGTCCTCCACAGCAGTCACAACTACTGACTCATTCCACATTTGTTTATTAAGAGCACACTAATGCCAGCACTGTGCTAGGTGGAAAGTCACCGTAGTCCATACTGGAGGATGTGGTAGGAAGACATGATGTCACAGGTCTTTAAAGATTACGGGCTGATGGGATGCCTGCGTGGCTCAGTGGTTGAGCATCTGCCTTTGGCTCAGGGTATGATCCCTAGGGTCCTGGGATTGAATCCCACATTGGGCTCCCTATGAGAAGCCTGCTTCTCCCTCTGCCTATGTCTCTGCATCTCTCTATGGGTCTTTCACATAAATAAATAAAATCTTAAAAAAAAAAAGATTATGGGCTGATGGTGAGGTAATAAACAGGTTAGGGATTATGAAAGGTATAAAGGGGTTGGGGGGAATCTTTACAACCTGTAGTTCGCAAAGAACAACAGTATTCTATAATACTAATGGACTTAAAAAAAAAAAAAGAGTTGGAACCACTGTTCTTGGCAAAAGAAACGGCATGTTCAAGGGCTGGGAGGCAGAGAAACTGACCAGGGTATTAAAAAGCACATTCTGATTGTAGAGTAGAGAATGGCCCTAGGGAGGCAAGGAAACCATCTGTCATATAGACAAAATTATGAAAAGATATTTATGTCTTATATGACAAAAAAAATCACTTCCCTTATTATATAGAGAGTGCTTACAAATCAAGCAAATATTGGGAAGACACATAAGAAACTCTATTGTGAAATGTCTGGTAAGATCATCAAGCTCACTAAAAACAATTACAAACTTTAAAAATAAGAAATTTTCTGGCAAAATTATATAACTTCTTTGGAAGGTAATTTAGCAATAACTATCAAAATTTAAAATATGTAGACTTTAAAAATACTCTGTACCAGTAGACATTGCTCCTGTCAGGAGTTTAGCTTAAGGAAGAAAACACATTATTCAAAAAGAAATGGTATGGAAAATACTATGTAATCCAGTGTGGGAGGCTTTCTGATAAACTTATTACTTAAGCTGAGATAAAAAGAATGAGTAGGAGGTAGGTCAGCCAACCAAAGGAAGGGGCAAGAATATTCCAGAGGGGCAGCCTGAATGAAGGCCTCCAAGCAGAAGTGCATGAAGAGTTTCAAGGAACTGAAAGAAGTAATGTGACCATGGGAGGAAAAGGAGAGTAAGCGCCTGAGCAGCACTTGATCCGGCTGAAGAAAACCAAAGCCCTCCAGAAGGCCTTGGTAACAGTTCATCTGAGGTCAGTTGAGTGAGGCCTAACTGCAGGAGTGTGACAGGATTAAGACTTGGGTTTTTAAAAGACTCTCGAATCATCATTGCATTGTATTACTAAATTGCCTTCAAATTTTGTTGACTTGTTAGTACAACTTTGAATATGAACCATACAGTCTGCTTATAAATTATGCATGAAAATACTGTATTTTTCCTTTAAAATTTTTGAGCCATATTATACAAAAATAAGTACTGAAACAGTTAACTAATGATATTTACTATATCTGTTATAAATTTAAGATTCCTTTAAAAGTTCGTAACTTCTATGAAGTGAAAGTATTTGAAATATTGCTTATTTTCTTCATCTAAAATAACGTAACTTAGACTCCTAACTCTGGGAAATGAACTAGGGGTGGTGGAAGGGGAGGAGGGCGGGGGGTGGGGGTAAATGGGTGACGGGCACTGAGGGGGGCACTTGACGGGATGAGCACTGGGTGTTATTCTGTATGTTGGTAAATTGAACACCAATAAAAATTAATTTATAAAAAAAAAAGTTCGTAACTTCTATGAAGTGAAAGTATTCGAAATATTGCTTATTTTCTTCATCTAAAATAACGTAACTTAGACTCCTAACTCTGGGAAATGAACTAGGGGTGGTGGAAGGGGAGGAGGGCGGGGGGTGGGGGTGAATGGGTGACGGGCACTGAGGGGGGCACTTGACGGGATGAGCACTAGATGTTATTCTGTATGTTGGCAAATTGAAAACCAATAAAAAATAAATTTATTATTAAAAAATAAAATAAAATAAAATAAAATAAAATAAAATAAAATAAAATAAAATAAAATAAAATAACGTAACTTAGGGCAGCCCTGGTGGCTCAGTGGTTTAGCGCCACCTTCAGCTCAGGGTGTGATCCTGGAGACCCGGGATTGAGTCCCACGTCAGGGTCCCTGCATGGAGCCTGCTTCTCCCTCTGCCTGTGTCTCTGCCTCTCTGTGTGTGTGTGTCTCTCATGAATAAATAAATAAAATCTTTAAAAAATAAATAAAATAAAATAACGTAACTTAGAGCACTGACATCACTGTGCCTCATCACTAGGCAGGGCAGACAGTATCTACGAAGTCAGGCTAATGGGCAATTTTAAATAGTGGCTATTTCTCCCTCCCCCAAATTCACCTCAAAAAATGACAAATGGTAGAGATGATCTCTTACGCCTATAGCAAATACCTTTTGAATGGTTTGACATGGCTTATAAGTTTATTAATGCTCCAAAGAAAAATAACAGACACACAGATGTATATATTCACCTCAGAGAAAAACATAAAACACTAAGCTGGTTTTTACAAAACTGTATTTGGGAGATTTTATGGATAGCTGAATAATATAATTAATAATTACCCAAAAAAAGGTGATTGACTTTTGTTATGTTAAAAATGTATTCAAACCAGTCTATTTTGAACATTTTTGCTCAAAGTATTCATATTCTTGTCCCATGCCTTATTTTGCACACCTCCATCAGACAGATCATCCTAAAAAACATAGAGGATCAGGTCTCTTCCCACTGCAGGGTGTTAATGATTCCCTACTGCTTTCAAAAGATAGTCTGGACTTTTCAGTCTGACATTCATGGCCCTGCTATTTTGGCTACAACCTGTCTTCTAAATCTTACAAGCTTTGTCTTTTCCACATCAACCTATGGTCAATTAATTTGGTTTTAAAACCTGGTATCTGACCAGGATGCTTTCAGCTATGAAAATTCTATCCATCCTTCAAGGCCCAGATTACACTTCACTTCCTTTTCTGATCACTATTCAGAAGTCAAGCCTCTCTTTACTACCACTGTGCCTTTGTATCCTTCACATCACATTGGCCACAGACTGTATAATTTTCCACTCTAGACAGTTAGTATCCTAATGGCCAGTTCTGCATGGCACTTAACTCATCAAGAAGACAAGTATTTATTAAATGATGAAAACATTTTCTCAAGCTTACAAATTTGTAGATGTTCAGAAAAACATAAAAGACCCCAAAGTTCCTTTGAAACAAATGGGCAAAGAAACTCACATGTGACAAATCATGCATTGTTTGATGGGGGGTGAAAGGGTGGGAGTTCTGCTATGTATGTGGACCTGCTGCTATTTTCAAATCATCCATTAGGGAAAGAAGGTTTCTCAAAATAAATATATAAATGTATCAAATTAATATTTTGTACACTTTTCTAAAAATTTTTAAATCCCTTACATGTGTGTTAAAATAACAAAGCACTAGTTCCAGTCCTAATTTCTGACATCCTGTTCCTTAGTAGAAGGTTCTTACTTAACAAATAACAACAACAAAATCCATCTTTCTTCAGACATTGATGATTCCTCCTAGTCAAATCGAGGTCTTGCTGTAAAAAACGGGATTTACATTTCTTGAAGGAATATTGAATAACTGATATAAGTCATATTCCTCAAACCTGGAAAAACTGAATCTAGTACTAACTTTTAAGGGAAACACTATCAAATTTAAATTATCTTTTAAATATGTTTTCATCGGGACGCCTGGATGGTTCAGCAGTTGAGCTCTGCTTTCTGCTTGTGATCCTGGAGTTCAGGATCGAGTCCCACATCGGGCTCCCTAAGGGGAGCCTGCTTCTCCCTCTGCCTGGGTCTTTGCCTCTCTCTCTGTGTTTCTCATAAATGAATAAATAAAATCTTCTAAATAAATAAATAAATATTATTATCAAATATAAACTTCTATATTTTTCCTCAAGAACTCAAATTTTCAAATATAAATTTCCAAATAAACCAGATATAAACATAAAATTAGTCACACATAAATTATTTATTTTGAAAAATGTAATAGTAGCCATCAGAAGCCTGAGGAAATGTAACAGAATACTATTTGTAGGGATCCCTGGGTGGCGCAGCGGTTTAGCGCCTGCCTTTGGCCCAGGGCGCGATCCTTGAGACCCGGGATCGAATCCCACGTCGGGCTCCCAGTGCATGGAGCCTGCTTCTCCCTCTGCCTGCCTCTGTCTCTCTCTCTCTGTGTGACTATCATAAATAAATAAAAAAAAAAATTAAAAAAAAAAGAATACTATTTGTAGACTTACTCTTACATTTTGAATTGTCTTCTACCATTCTTACATTTTATAGGGAAAAATGTAAAAAAGCCACACCAGATTTTTCAGTGACAACACATATTCTTCTGTTCATTTATTCATTCACTTAAAAAAAAATGGGTGCCGAATATTTAAGTGTCTAGAGGACCAAGGAATGCATGTCAGCATAACCATATAATTGATCAACTAACCTGGGAGAGGGGTGCTATTCAAAGTTATCCCAAAATAACAAGCATAACCCTGCACTGTTGAATATATTCTCATTTAATCTTTGTTGGTTGAAAGGTGGAGGGGACATCTTGTGAAGCTGAACTGCCAATAAGAAGTCATGCTAATGGATGGACCATTCTGAAGGATCACACATCACCAAATTTTCAGTGTAAAGCCCATCAGTGTGCTAAGAACAACAGCAGCAACAAACCAACTGTGACTGGCTGTAATGTGAGGTTTAAATATGCTCACCTCCATGACATCTTCTAAAGTCTCTTCTGCATCTGCTTTCTCTGTCATCAGTTTGGCTGCCTTAAAATACGTTTTCATAAGCAGATAACCTCTTTTTGCTCCATTCCAGTATGACCGAGGAATTTCTACCAAACCGTACCCCAACAGCAGCACAAGAAGGAACAGGCCCCATGTATTTGCTGCAGCTATCCCGATTGTCTGAAGCTGGTTCCTGAGAAGGAGGAAACATAAGCAGACAGCTGTGACAGTTATTTTTCCAAGAAAAATATAAAATAAAGCTAACTAGTGTTAAATCATTTTTCAGAAAATGGCCCTAAGGGATGGCTAGGATTCTATATGAAAAAAATTATCTTCCAAGCCTCAGTTACTTTTTTAGTGACAGCAGATAGTCTGCACATTCCAAGAGGAAGTTAAAGTGTGACTGCAGAAATAGAGTTTAACACAGGAAACACTGCTTCTATAATAGTTAAAATTAGAGTCTAGGATAATTCCTGGCAAAAAATATATATATTTTGTCCAAAGAAAAGACAATTTTTTCATTAGGTGCTTTTTAGTATTAATTAGCCAAGAGAAGCCTGAAAAAATTTTAAAGCCTAAAAAATATTTTAACTTACATTGAGGCATACCTACAGGAATGCGATAGTGAGATTCATTACTGCTCCATTACTAAATTTCTGAGATCTATCTCTTCACATATATTATATAGATCACAAGTATAACGCACATTTGTTATTATAATGTCTGAACCTATCATCAAAGAGAAATATGCCTTCAAATGATAGTCAGAACAAAAGAAAAAACATTCACAAATTCCAATGAAAAGGAAAACTAATTATTTTGTCATATACAAAACTATACACCCAAAACTAATATTACACTGTACGTTAGCTAACTGGAATTTAAATAAAAACTTTTAAAAAATCGTAAGAGTTAACACTTCTAACACATAGCTATTAAACAAAGCATTAGTCCTTTGTCTAATAGCTACATTTAAATATATTATTCCATTTTTTCCTTCTTAGTAAGAGGGATTACTGAGATTTCTTTCTGGGGAACCTATAAAACACATAACTTGACATGTTCCTCAATGAAATGTCTATTTATCTGCATATATGACTTAAAAATAAATTTTAAAAACTGCAAATATAAAAAAAACTGCAAATATATATAGAAACAATGTTAAGAAGACAAGTTTTCTTACCATTCTAAGTGCAAATGTGGGTTTACAGCTACATAAATTAAAAATGCTCCAAAAATCAGCAAATAGGTGCCGTAATAAATTGCATTCTCAATCAGTGCAGTTTTGATCTTTCCAGTGATGGAAAACCCTCCTGATCTTGCATATGACTGCATAAAAGGTAACAGAATCCTGGACATTTGGAAAAAATATGATTAAAGAAAAAATTGATATGTCTTCTCATCTCAAAATACTAGAATTATGTGAATCTCAATTGCAATGTGTAGTTCTTTTCACAAATAAATATGATTTGAGTAATTATTAATACTGAACAAACTCTAATACATGACTATTTTGTAATATTACATTTTGGAGAAAGCAAAGCACATCTCTGGGAGAAAAGGGGGCCACAAAGACCAGCAGAGAGTATGACAGTATGAGTGACTGTCTAAGAAAAAAAAGGGGGCCACAATGACCAGCAGAGAGTATGACAGTATGAGTGACTGTCTAAAAAAAAAAGACCTTTAGAGTCTTTATGAAGACTTTGGACTGCATTTAGACAATGAGGAACCTTTTTCTTTAAGGGAGCCATGATCGAATTTAAGTCTTTTAAAGACTGATAAGGCTTTAGCAGGAAGAATGGACTGAAAGGTAACAAAATTGGGACTATGTAGGAGAAGGTAAGGGGTGGCGATGTGGTAAGAAGCAGGAGGGAAGCCTGGCTATCAATACACTGAAGTGAAGTACTTAGGACACATCTCAAAGGAGCTGCACAGGAGGTAGTCGGCCATCCAGCTTCAGAATTCAGTAGAAAGGAGTAGAAACACAGATAGATTCAGGAGTCCTCACCACATCCGTGGTACTGACATGACACGAGCAGATGAGATTTAGAAAGGTGAATATGTAGAAGGAGAAGGAAAGAGCTGAGGTTGAGTCTGTGAAAGATCCTATTTTAAAGGAGAGAGAGAGACACAGAAGGAGGAAGAGCCAGCAAAGGAGACAAAGAATAGTAGAGAGGTATGGAAGAAAACCATGGAGCAAATGGAGGAGAAAACAGGAGAAGGAAGTGTTTCAAAATGGAGAGAAAACAATAATCAAATGTTGCCAAGAAGTTAATGCAGAACCTGTGTGTATGAGTGATGTGGGGCAAAAAAAAAAGGCTTTGATAAGTTGAGGATAGATTGAGCAATGAGTAAATGAAGATAGTACAGGCAGACAATTCATTTGAGAAGTCTGGCTAGGTAGGATATACTGTGGCATATTGATATCATGGATGATTTTCCAGAAATGAAAAAGAAAAGAACACTGATACACGCAATACAACATAGATGAATCTTCCAAATTTGTGAGCCAAAAAAGAGATGCAGAAAAATACATACCATATAACTCCATGTTTATAAAGCTCAAAAATGGTAAAACTAATCTATAGATGTCAGAATCATGGCTACTTTTGATGGGGGTGGAGTGGGAGAGGGGTATGAGGGAAGCTTCTAGATGTAGCATACACATTATCAATGTTCTATATTATCAACTGAGTGCTAATTATCCAGGTGTATTCACTTTGAAAAAAGTCAAACTAAACACAATTTGTCATTTTTCTATACCAATTTATAGTTCAATAAACAAGCCTCCCTCCAAAAATTAAGCTGTGATGTACTCATCAATGAGGTTAGAAGCCAGGAAGTTGGAAACGGTTATATGTGAGAGATTTTTTGTTTTTTTTTTCTTTCTTTTTTTCAAAAAGATGAGAGAATTGTGTGTGCTTTGTTGAAACTGGCAGCTGCAAGTATAGGTAACAAGAGCTGAAGGGAATGGGTCCATATTTCAGGAAGAGGAATTTCACTCTGAAGTCAACTTTGAGAGTGACTCATTCTTTGAGAGGAAGGGAAAAGGATGGGTTGGTAGGTGTGCTGGTGAGAAGCTGAAAGAGCTGCCATCTGATGACTTGTATTTTCACTGTGAAGTAGAAAGTGAAGTCCTCTGCAAGGGGAGAAGGGATTGATTCTAGGACATAAAAGAGAGAGAAAGAGCCACAAAGCGAACAGCAGAGTTTGAGATTTGGAGTCATTAGAAAGACTTACCCTGGATGAAGAGTGAGCAGACTAGAGACACAAAGGAGGAAAGTCTGGTAATACTGGGGGCTCACATAAGTTCAATGAACATGAATCTACAGGGGCACTACTCTACTCTGCTCTCTGATTATTCTCTTGCCATGTGCACTAGCTTCAGTTTTAGAGCTTAGTTGCCTGCAGAATATCTAAAATGCTCAGTACATAATGAATAATGTGTTTGGAGCACAGCAGAAAGACAAAGCTTTGGAGTGCTGGGTGGCTCAGCCCGTTAAGACTCCGATTCTTGATTTTGGCTCAAGTCATGACCTTTGGGTTGTGAGAGTGAGCCCCATGACAGGATCCATGCTGGGATGCTGGAAATGGAGCCTTCTTTTTTTTTTGGAATGGAGCCTTCTTAAGATTCTCTGTCTCTCTCCCCCTGCCTCTCCCACCACCCCATCTCTTAAGCAAACAAAGACAAAGCTATAGTAGGTAGAAAGAAACATTTGAAATACATTGTGGCTATGGCAATAATCAGAGCCATATAGGGAGGGTCAGGTAGCAAGATGACCAAAGATGGGACACCAGGAAACATCAACATTTATGAAAATGGGCCACAGAAATAGAACCTGTGAAGGAAATGCAGCAGGTTGGGCTAAGCAGAAAGAAAGAAAACCAATAGACAATGATGACCTTAACAAGAGCAGTTTCATATAAAACTGGGAATAGAAGACTGAATTGAAGGTCAAGAGAGAAGGAAGTAACTAGTGGGGAACAGTGATAGGGAAAAGTTTTCATTTTCTATTTCTCATTTGTCTGTTTTTTTTTCTTTTCATTTCTTTTAAGATAGGAGAGAAACTGAATGAGCAGAAAAGTAGAATGTACAGATTTAAAAAAAGTAACACTTGAATAAATTCTAGAATATGAAGGTTCATGAAGTATAATCTTTTTTTTTAACTGTAACCAAATTTAAAGAATTTTTAATCCTTTACTACCACTTACCATGTTAAAAATTGTGATGTCCAATATACTACCCTCCAGAAAATTGGCATGATTCCATCAGGAATGTAACTCCATGGCTTGAAACATGGATGCTGGCTGTTTAATAACAATTTATAGCTAATTAATAAATAATTACTTAAATTATACAATTAATTTGTGCATGGCAAAGTTCATTTATATTCAGATGCAAATTACTGACTCTAACTTCTAAAATTTCATAGAAAACTTATAACTCAAAGCTAACTACCAAACTAAAAAAACAAACAGAGAGGAAACAAAACAGTTTGTTCTCGAAGAGGAATGCCATTTAAATTTTCAACTTTCAGGGATGCCTGGGTGGCTTAGTGGTTGACGGTCTGCCTTTGGCTCAGGGTGTGATCCCAGAGTCCCAGGATCGAGTCCCACATCGGGCTCCCTGCATGGAGCCTGCTTCTCCCTCTGCCTGTGTCTCTGCCTCTCTCTGTGTCATGAATAAATAAATTAAAAAATAATAATAATAAATTTTTAACTTCCAGTGTATTTTTAGTTCTTGAGTAAAAAGACAGCATGATACTCACCTAACAGACTGAAAATGTGACAGCCTTTAAAAGGGAATGTGTATTGAAACTCAATCTTTGATTTGATTGCCCTTAAAATACATACCCCCTAAAAAAATACATACCCCCTAAAAAAAAAAATTAAAAGAAAAGAAATACATACCCCATTTGAGGGGCTGTTATTTTCCAGGGAGAAGGGGTAGGGAAGCAAAAGACATTAGGTGATTAACTCCTGAAACTGGAGCCCTAACTAATCAGTCACTGCAACACAGTTCCCATAGAGAGAGACCAATATCTGTAAAATTCTGTTTGAATTTTCTGAAGATATATGCATCTGACCATAGTATCTTCCATTAATAGTCTTCTAGACCCTAAGTATATCATTTAGCCCAGGAACTTCTAACAATTCATAACAGCTACTTATCAGATCCAATTTTTAATGTGCTTCAAAGGGGAGTAATGTTTCAAATTTACCCTTATTCAGGTTAGATTAAAAAAAAAAGCTGCAAAAAGAAGCATGCAAACACTACCTAAAGCATTGGTAAAAGCTACAGTCAACATTTATTAAAGTTTTTTACTTGGAAGTTGGATATGAATTTACATAATCTTTCAATAATTTGAACTTTATTCATTCTCGGTCTAAAAGTAAAAATGATTTCAGGGTGCCTGGCTGGCTCAATCAATAGAATGTGCAACTCTTGATCTCCGGATTGTGAGTTTGAGTCCCATGTTGGGTACAGAGATTACTGGGTGTTATGCTGTATGTTGCCAAATTGAACTCCAATTAAAAAAAATATGTAAAAAAATAATAAATAAAATCTTAAAAAAATAAAATCTTCTAAAGAGCAAAAATAAAAAATTAAACTATAATGATTTCAAAGGATGCACAATATGAAAGGAACATCCTACATATAGAATAAGCTCCTTACCCTTTATACAACCTTGTAAATCAGGAAAAAGAGAAAATGAATGCCCCATTTTTTAGACCAGAGTAAGACTGAAAAGAAAAATAGCCATTGGAAGTCACATTCTTAGTAAGAGGCAGAACCAGGGCTAAAAATGATCAGGTCTTCACCACATTTCTCCTTAGTGTCTACTGAAACGCTTTGGGTACCAATAAATATTTAAAATTTATTTAAGATTTAAATTTAAATAGAATACAAGGTAATTAAAAGTCTACTAGCAAAGGATAGAAGGTGGGGTAGTGGGGTGAGTAGAGAACAAGGATCAGTTTTTATAAATACAAAATCCTAAAGGTAAGAATTGACAATTTTAAAGCAATTTTCCTCTACCCTATTAAAATAAATAAACAAACAAACAGGAAGCAAATACCTGGGAACTGGGGCAGCAGTTGCATATAATCCTGTGATGTTGCTATTCTCAGGAGGGCTTGAGTTTGCAGCAGCATGCTTGCACCGATTATATATAGTCTAAATCAATGAACACATGGTTTAAAAGTGAAAAATCAAAAGGTTACCAAGTACTTAATGGGTACTGGAGGGTACCAACCTATCCACCAATTACCTTCCTGGCTAGGCTTTTTAATGATTAAATTCCTACAGTAAGATTTAAATACAAAATATTAAATATAACCTTATATAACTTAGCTCTCTTAAGAACTAACATATCTCAAACATGCTGTATGATTAAAATTGCCTTTTGAATTGCAAAACTCAGTTTCACCTCTTACCGTACTAACATCCAGAGGCAATATGAAGACGATAAGAAAACAGAGATACCAAGCTAGTAGTGTTCCAACAATTACGAGTCTATGCTGTTTCTTGAAGTCTCCATATCGATGAAGTAGGAATAATGCCAGAAAAAAGACAAAAACAATCTCAAGTCCCAAAGCTGCACCGCTCATTATTGAATGTTCACTCTGACTAACCAAAGCCACTCATGTACAGGTCTGGGTCATATCTGTAAGCTGGAAAAGAAAAAAACAAACAAACAAACAAACAAAAAAACAAAAAAAACAGCATTAACAAAGGAAATAGCCACTTGGAAAATTCCTAAATATTTATTAATGTATTAATAAATTCTTCAGAAAATTATCAGGCTTAACATTGAACTATAAATAAAAGGAAAAGGATAATTCCTACTCTCAAATATATATCTTATTTTTTAAAGCAGATCTTTAAAAATTCACATAAATTATATCTTCAGGAAAAAGGTTATCCTAATGAAAATTGCACTTGTTCTCAAAATATTACAAAATAAGAATACTGAATGTGAATAGTTTCAATACCGTGTCATTTGGAGTTGGTTTCTTAAGTTCTAAGTCCCAACAGAAATTTTATACAAATATACTATTGACTAGATCCTAGGAAACTAGGTATTTTGTAAAATAAAGTTTTCTGAGTCATCTGTAGCCCATTACTTAAACTGTTCCAAAAGAGGGAGAGGCAGCATGAAAAAGACCATTTGAAAGTAATATTTTCTTTGTGTGAAAGTTTTATTTTTTTGTGATAATCTTGTCTAACAAATTTAACAACTTGAAATTCTTATTTATTTACTGCTTCACAAAGTACAGTTAACCCTTGAACAAATAGGTTTGAACTGTATGGGTCCACTGCTACACAGATTTTTCGATAAACAGACTACTATAAATGTATTTTCTCTTCTTTATGATTTTCTTAATAACACTTTTTTTGTAGCCTAATTATGACTGATCAGTTATAAACTTGCTATTAGCTACAAATTTTTTTTACAATGGTTGTCAATTTTTTAGCCTGATTTAGTACTTTAAAATCTTGTAGATGAATAAACAGAATTATGGATCCTTAATTCAATAATAAAGAAATGATTTGGTTACATCTCTTCCCATTTTCAGTCCATCAGTCTCCTATTCTTGCTATAAACAATTCCTACAAATGTAGATGCTTAAAACAACACTCTTATATCATAGTTTCTGTGGGTCAGATGTCCAGGCACAACTTGGTTCAACTAAATTCTCAAGATTGAAATCAGTGTCAGCAAGTTAGCGTTCCTCTCTGGAAGACTCTGAGGAAGACTGTACTTCTAAGTTCATTTAGGCTGTTGGCAAAATTCAGTTTGTTATGTTTATAGGCCTGAGATCTCCATTTCCTTGCAGGCTGGCATTTGCCCTTGCTTCAGAGCCCTCTTTCCAGTCTTTGCATGTGGCCCTGTGTATCTCAAGAGTTAGCAATGGCTTGTCAAATTGTTCTCAGGCTTGGAATCTCAGATGTTCTTTTTTACCCTCAGCTGGGAGAAAACTGCTTAAAAGGGCTCATCTGATCTCATCAGGAAAATCTGGATAATTGAGTCAGATTTACAGGTTCCAATGATTAAGGCACAGCTATCCTTTGGGGGCGTCTATTCTGTTTACAACACCATCTATTTCTGTTCAAGCTGAACTCTTGTTGTTTTGTTATGACACAAGTTTAGGCCTAGAGGTCCCATTAAATTGGAGATGAAAATTGAGGTTTTCCTAATCTGAGATGAGAAAATAATAGTTTTAAAGTCTGTATCTTTGACCTTGTACCTAAATTCAAGTGAGGAATTATTTTTCTACAGTCCAGAATGATAGCATTTTCCAAGGTTCCTTATGAATTCCTAGCCTGTTTTAGTTATTTCAATTGAATAATTTTGTGTTCAAAGCTAGGGGCACCTTATTCTCTAACTCAACTAGTTATTTGTATCTTAAATTCATAAAATCACTGTCAATTAAAATCTAATAAAGATAAATATTAGACAACTCAGGTTTGGCTTACTGAAAAAACTCATCACCAGGGAGCATAGCAATTTGACAATACATACCAAAGACCTTGAAAAAAGACACATATCCTTTGTCCTAGCAATTCCTCTTCAAATAACTTAAAGGAAAAACAAGATGGGAACAAAGATTTATCTATAATGTTCTTTTTCATGGCAGCATTATTTAAACAGGAAAACCTAGACACAAATGTTTGTACGAAATAGTCCAGGAAGTCTTAAAAATGTCCTCTAGTCTCATCACTGTCCACTGCCTTTTTGAAAAAAGCAGCCAAGGGTTTCATAAATCACTAATCCTGCTAACCTGTCCATGACTCATGGGAGCAGGGATCTGCATGCAAGTTCCCTGCCCATGAGTCAAGGACCACATAACAGCAAAACTCCATTGCAGAAAGTGATTCGAGGAGGCCACCAAATTCCCCCAGTTTAGAAGAAAGGTGAGATCCACAGGGACACTTTAGAGTTGTCAAAAGGGTTGGGAGTGGGCCTAAGGGAGTATAGTATGCGTAAGAAACACATGGACAAATATACATAAAAATGCTAACAGTGGTTGTCATAAAATAGTAAAGAGAGGATTGCTATATTCTTCTTTGTGCTTTTGTGTATATGTGTTTTTAATTTGAAATAATGAACATAGGTTATTTTGTAATTTCAAAATTATTTAAAAATCAATGTAGTAATACGAAAGTAAAGTACATGGCAAATAGGAAACGAGAAATTCTGCCATGGTTTTAAGTGCCTAAAGTCACAACTATTTTAAAATACGAATGTTTTGTTATACTCTGGGAAACCTGGGTTCCAAACCCTAACTCTATTTAATTGTGTAATTTTATGCAATTTAAACTGTTACGTGAGGATAAATAATCATTACACAGGTTGCTATGAAGATCAAATGAAATACAAAAGTGAAACACCAAATAGGGAGTTCTAGGCACAGAGTAGATCCTCAATAAATGCTAGTTGGTAATCTCCACCTCCTCATATAATGTGCTTCTAGAAAATAACTAGTTGCTTCAAAAATCTCAAAGCACAGGTTTACACTAAATAGCCTCCTCTGCCACCATCTGCCCCCCCCCCCCAAATATGAATGGATACCAAATGCTTTTTGCTTCTCATTCTCTGCAGTTACCAGAGCCTGGGCCTCCCCTGATTCCTACAAAACAAAAAAATTATCTTTGCTCCAAGAAACTGCTCCCCTTTCTTCTCTTGACAAATTGAGATTACCTCTTCAGGTCTACAAGGTAACCCAAACACTCCTTCAACTGTCTGTTGGAAAGACAGAACACTTTTCAGAGCCATGTCAAGAAGATGTACTAGGGGATCCCTGGGTGGCTCAGCAGTTTGGCGCCTGCCTTCGGCCCAGGACATGATCCTGGGGTCCCGGAATCAAGTCCAGCGTCGGGCTCCCGGCATGAAGCCTGCTTCTCCCTCTGCCTGTGTCTCTGCCTCTCTCTCTCTCTCTATCGTGAATAAATAAATAAAATTAAAAAAAAAGAAGATGTACTAGATGTCATGTAGAAAGATGATACCATTTTTCTAGCACATGATCAAAACAGAGGTGGATTAGAATGGATCATTTGCTGACCTGCAACCATGTATAGCTGTGCAAAAATATACTCAAGGGCAAAAGAGGAAATATGCCTCTGATGGCAAAACTGGTCCTTCTAGTAATATTCCTCAAATATTAAAATACTGTGTTTAGGCTAGATGACAAAAATGAAAGAAGACCATGCAAAAATTTGGAGGCATATCAAAATCCAGTTCCATGTGATTAGAAATTGAAAGAGAAATTTAGAGCTACCACAGGTTGGCATTAACACCACAGCAGCAAATGTAGATTTTACTCAAAATAAAAATGCCAGTTCATTCATTCAAATTTTAGTGCTTGATATCCAGATATAGTCTATCTTTCAAAATATCAGTTCTGAAAATCTTTGAACACTTAAAATCCAATTTAGTCATTTACCAATTATCGAGATAATCATACAATGCCTTTCAAACGCCTTACATAATTAGCTTGTTAATGTTACTGACTTGGGGTACTGTTTCCCAAGTATTTTATGGCTGATAGTGTTTTTTGTTGTTGTTGTTGTTGTTGTTGTTGTTTTAGGCTAACCACTCTTTAAGTGGAAAATTTACAGGTAAGGTAATTTTGGAACTTGAAGCATCCCAAAGATCTTCAAAAAGAAGGAGAAAGGGATCCCTGGGTGGCGCAGTGGTTTGGCGCCTGCCTTTGGCCCAGGGCGCGATCCTGGAGACCTGAGATCGAGTCCCACGTCGGGCTCCCGGTGCATGGAGCCTGTTTCTCCCTCTGCCTCTCTCTCTCTGTGTGACTATCATAAATAAATAAAAATTTAAAAAAAATATTAAAAAAAAGGAGAAAGAGAAGACAAAGAAGGATAGAAGGAAAGATTTGTGGTAGCAACTCCACAAGAGATCACAGGCAAAAATTCCGTTCAAATAAAAAAAAAATTCTGTTCAAATCTAAGATTCTGAAACTGAATGAAAAATTTCTAGCCAGAACTCAGTGATTAATCAGACTCTGCATAATCTATGTATCTTTATTCAGAAATGTGAAATAATAAAAACTAGGAGACAATTCAAGATCTGAATAATGATAAACTGGAAGTATCAGAACTAGATGTGAATGGTGAAAGTCAACAATTCTCTACCACCAATAAAACGTTAAATCTTCCAAATATGACCACCATTATTCCGTTTAAAGATTTCAGGTACAGGGAGAATTCAGCTTAGGATACAATAGAATACCACAAGAGAATGTAGCTCCTACTCTAAAAATACAAAATAGTTGTAATATTTTTTGAAGCCATTTTCAAAAAATGAGCTGAGTTGCTAAACCAACCAGGTAAACTGAATTCCAAAGTGTGACAGACCCTTCTGAAGACAGACAGACATGTACAAAGTGCTTAACCTTTGTTAAGACATGAGAGAGAGAGAGAGAGAGAGAGAGAGAGAGAGCGCAACCCTATAAGCAAGTGAGAAGAAAACAACTAGAATTGTAATGGATTCTTAAATATTTCAGGTAAAGAGATTATAAGATTTATTTTGGTAATTAAAGAATAATCCTTAGAATCTTTCTTAATAAAATAATTTAAAAAAAGAAGAGCTAACATTTAGTATGAGTTTACTAGATTCCAAGCATTATGCTAGCACTAACATACTTTATCAAATTAGACTACACAACCCAATAAGAAAGGACTATTAATAACCTTGTTGAATAGAGAAAAGGGAAGAGAGAGTAAGTGGTTTGTCCACATTCCTACAGCCAGTGAGTGGCAAAGCTGGGATTCAAACCTACTCATCCTCACTACAATTGGGATACAACACAGTCTCTTTTCGAATCCAGACATACTTTATTAACCCAATTTAAACTCTTTAAACAATTTCTTTTGGTCAGTTTTCAGAGTGAGCAAATTTAAAACATTCTATTAGTTATTCCGTTACATATATCAAGATAGAATGCTAGAAAAGAAGTGTTTAATATAGAATTTAGCAAAGACTTTTAACCTTCCAGGTAAGATTGCTATTACTTAAGGGTAATATATGACTCTAATCTACATGGGGAAGCTAGAAGAGAAAACATAGACCAAATTAGAATAGGGAAAGGACCCTTCTGTTACTTCAAACTGTCCATCACAGCATTAAACTATAGAGATCTAAGGATCTAAATTAATGGAGGGAAAGGATCCTTTTGAAATTTGGCAGGTAAAAACTTCTTACCATGTAATTGTTCTTAGCCTTTTGTTCCCCACAGCTAAATAATATGAAAAAAAACCTTAAAGAGTTCTTTAAGGCTTATTTTATACTATGATAGAACTAAGCAAAAAAGTACATCACTGTTCTATTTAAATATAATCTCTTGTCCTATTTGATTTTCAAAAACACTAATGTACTACTGGAGATTATATATATATATAATATTTATATAATTATATAATATATATAATACACCTCTCACTTAAAATGGGACATGGAGTGTAGCGGGCAAAGATTTAATAAATAAAATTAATCAGCAAAAAAAATAATCCATATCAGTAGCAGTCACAATGAATTTTTGAAAAGACCAGATAGCAATATCTATGTAGCTGATAATCTCTTCAATGAGCACAACTCCTTTTATCAAACAGACTCCCAGGTACCAACGTAAACTTTTATTTACTATACAAAGAGATAGCCATGATTAGAATAATGCAGAATAAAAAAAATGATTGCTATTTCAGTAAGTTAAAGTATTTTTGTTACCAGGGAAAACTGTTAGTAAAATATCTATTCTAGAATTTGAAGACTGATTTTCTAAGTTGACAGGCTCTCTTTGAAGTCTCTCTTTGAGGGTCTCCTGTCCAATTCAGATATTTCAAGTATTCTGAGAACTAGAAATGTTCCCTGGCTCCTGGAAACTACTTTTTAAATCCTGCTACCAGGGGGCACTGGGTGGCTCAGTGGTCAAGCGTCTGCCTTTGGCTCAGGGTGTGAATCCGGGATCCTGGGATCGAGTCCCACATGGATCCTCACAGGGAGCCTGCTTCTCCCTCTGCCTATGTGTGTCTCCCATGAATAAATAAATAAAATCTTTAAAAAAAAACCAATCCTGCTATCAGGATATTTCTCATCTTTTTTGAGAGGCAGAGACATAGGTAGAGGGAAAAGCAGGCTCCATACAGGGCGCCCAATGTGGGCGTCGATCCCTGCATAGCTCAACCACGGAGCCACCCAGGCGTCCCTATTTCTCATCTTTAAATGTAAAATCATCCCATTAGATCTTCCTAACTATAAGATCTACTTTACATTTAAAAACTTTGTTAATTCTCATCGTGGCATTTAAAATATTTTTTCCTTGTTTTTCTTCTCCATTAGCATATACATAACCTTCCATCCTTATGCCTTTATATATATATGTGTGTGTGTGTATATATATATATATAGATATACACATATATATATATAATTATGTTCTCTAATGAGTTACAATTTTAAGGGAAGGGATGTATATTTCAAACCAAGGCAACTGCTTTCTTCTTAGCCAAAGTAACATCAAAGTAACTTTATGTAAAAAAAAAAAAAAAAATCAGAATATTGCATTTAAAAATCTTTTCCATGACATCAGTTCAATGAATCGTGAACATTCAGCCTACTTCCACTTCGTTTAAATGAAAGTCAGTGTGTGAGCATATCCCTTCTGTTCATCAATTCCATTTATTTTCAAGAAAAAAAAAAACAAAAACAAAACAAACAACTAAAGGTTCGTGAATAGCTTAATCGAGATGGGGTCACTTTTCAAGCCAAGCACCGAGCCTGAAACCAGCACATACCTGGGCAAGAGAGGTTTAATTCTAGCATAAAGGGAATCATTTTTAATGGTCTGTCACACTGGTTGTTTATTTTTTTATCATTATTATTTTTCACACTGGTTTTTGAAGGTATGTCGTACTGCACGCTCAAGCAATACTCTATTTTTGTGATGACTTAGCAGAGGGGTCTGCTTACTTCTGAACTTGATCAATCCTCTCCATTTTTCTTTCTTTTTTTTCTTTTTTTTTTTTTTTAATTGAAGGTTGGAATTTATTCCCCTCTCCCTTCCACTGTTCTCCAGGGGTCACCGTTTTGGATTTCGCACGGTCATCCGACCTGGAATGCGGCACACTCCCTGCTCCGGCCGCCCCCAAACTCTCCCGGGCGGGGACACGCTCGCAGCAGCTCGCCTTTCAGACGGCGACGCCGCCGGACGTCGTCGGCGGAGCGCGAGCAGCCCAGGGGCGCTCCACAGCCCTTCACAGACCTACCGACCGTCCCCTCAGCTGTCCCGGTGCTGGCATTTCCGAAGCTCGTCTGGGCTGCCAGGGGGCTGTCCCGCCGCACACCGTGGCCACCGCCGTGTTCTCCTGCTCCCCTAAAATTAAACCACCGCCTCTCCTTCCAACCGCGCTCTAGTTTACAAAACGCTTGCATAAGCGTAATCTGGCCCCTCACGTCAAGCGTGTTCTCGGGAGGAACCTGGAAGCCGTAGTGCCTATGGAACAGGCACCTGGTGACCCGCAGTGCTAAGGGTCACTATCTCCCAGATGGAGGAAGCAGCTTCGCCGCGGCGGCGGCGGCGGCGGCGGCGGGGGGGGGGGGGGGCGGGGGGGCGGCAGCAAGGGGGACCCCCGCGGCCCTCATCGTCTCACCTGGCCGGCGGGCCGGGCTGCCGCCTCCACTCGGTGGCCGGGAACGAAGGCCCGCGGTGGCGGCGGCGGCGGCGGCGGCGGCGGCGGCGGCTCGGGGTCTCCGAGGTCCTCTCGATCTCCGCCAGCGCCCGGCCTCAGACCGCAGACCCCACAGGGCTCACGCCCTCCCCATCAGGCCAGACAGCGTCCGCACAAGGACCGGGAACCCCGCGTCCGCCACAACCGTCCCGGACCTGAGACCGGCGATCCGGGGCGACGGCGGTGACGACCACTAGAAAGGCCTGCAGGCTCCGGGGTAAGGCAAATGCGTCCCCAGTCAGGCGGCTGACATTTCCCAGGCAGCCGGAGCGCCGCCCACTTCCGCTTCCCCGCCTACCGCGTGGACGGCCCCGCCTCGCGGGCGCGGGGGCTTGTGGGTATCTCCGAGGCGGGTAAAGTAAGCCGAGGAAGGACGTCGCGCAGAGCCTGCGGGACTACGAGGCAAGACGGAAACTACAGTTCCCGGCAGGCAGCGCGGCGGCCGACGGCGGCGGCGGCGGCGGCGGCGGCGGCGGAGGAGGGCGAGTAGAAGAGCCCTTGCGCGCGCGGCGAGGATGGAACGTTGCTAGAGTTCGCGGGTCTCGCTGCGGGGGGTCGGAGCTGCACGCCTCGAGCCGCCGCGCGCCAAAGCGGGAATCCCGGAGGCGTGCAGTTCTGCAGTTAATGCACGCGTTTAAAACTCCAGAAGCTGTGGACGCCATGCATAGGTAAACCGGTTGCAAAAGGGGGCTGAGAGTGAATGAACCGCCTCAATTCTTTTAGGCCGCGAATATTGCCACTTGCTAATGTTGTTGTGAATGTTGTAATTGAATCGTTGCTCAGCCCCTTCTCTGGGAAAGTGTGGGTGGCTGGATGCTTTAGTGCGGTGATCAGCGTGCGGTTTTCGCCTTCCCTTATTGAGCTTTCCTGCCGGTGTACGGTTGCTCTCCCGCTTGTCTGTTCCCTCCACTTTAAGACATTCTTGAGGCCTTCTCCGTGATCGTAAATCAAAAAGCCTTTTTGATCTGTTCGGTTATTTTCTTTTTTCCTTCTTGGAAACTCGCCGCCGGCACTTAAAAAAAATGCAATTCTTAAAGTTTTCTGCATTGCATAACTTAGAGTTTCATGTAGGCCTATCTTGGAATTATTTACGGGTGTGTTTTTGAAAGAAACCGGGGCTGTTGTGCATTTCTGCAGGAAACACCTCCAGGAGATTCCAGACCAGAGTAGCAACGTTACCACCAGCTTCACGTGGGGATGGGATTCTAGTAAGACTTCTGAACTGCTGTCAGGCATGGGGGTCTCTGCTCTGGAGAAGGAGGAGGTGGACAGTGAGAATATCCCCCAGGAACTGCTCTCAAATCTGGGCCACCCTCAGAGCCCGCCCCGAAAACGGCTGAAAAGCAAGGGGAATGACAAGGACTTTGTCATAGTCCGCAGGCCTAAGCTAAATCGAGACAGCTTTCCAGGTAAGGTATGAGGGTAAAACTGTCGGTCACTTGAGAAGTGGACTGAACTATTTATTGCTAATCTTTGTTAAGCGATCTTTAGGATGGCACGCTTTTAAAATTGCCTACTTCTGAAGTCGATTTCCAAAGCAATGGGACAACCCTTTGTCACTGAAATCTACAGGAATCTTGGTAGGTATATATTTTCCAGGTGCACAATTGACTTTTAACCCATGTGAAGTTTTAACCCAGAAGATCTTCCTGCCTCCTTCTCTTTGAAGGGAATCTGCGTGTTCAAAGGCCAGCTCAGTGCCATTGTTAAATGGGAACATAAGCAATGATCTTGTAGGATTTTTGTTGTTATTTATATTCTGTTGCTCTGTAGCTTCGGTTGAGTTTGTTGCCATAATTGCTTTAGTTATTTGTCAAAGGACTACTAACATGAATGTTAAACTAGGAGTAGGGCCTTATATCCCTCGGACCTCCCAAGTGGGATTTTTCTGGTTTGGTCTGTCTCCATTACTGCCCACATTATCTGTTCAGTCACCCAGCCAGAAACCTGAGGGCCAGTCCCTTCCCACCATCTTCCAGCCCCCAACCAATCATTGAATGTTTCCCTCTTGTCTCCTAGATGTTTTTCATACTCTCATTATCTCTTGCCTGAATATTGGCATGAACTCATAATTCCAGTCTTATCCTCCCCTGATCCATCCCCAGAGCTAGAGTGAACTGACTCAGATGTAGAACTCACCATATCATTTCCCCAGGCTTCTCAGACATGTTATTGAGTGTCTCCCAGAGTGGATCAGAATCCGAAGAGTACAAAAGCCATAGGGTAAACACAGTGCAATGACTTAGGGTTATCAGTTTTTCTTGCCAGTAAGTCATTTAAAACATTAATCCAGCAAATATTTGCTGAGCACATGCTATGTGGGAGGCATCGTTCTATGTGTTGGGGATAAGGCAGGGAACAAAACCTAAACATTCCTGCTCTCATGAAGCTTCTGTTTGAGAGGGGGGATGCAATAAACATAATAAATGTGGTGTATAATATGTTAGAAGGTGATAAATACTGTGGCCAAAAACAAGTAGAGAACAAGCCAAGAGAGATTGGAAGTCCTGGGGTTGGAAGATGGTTTACAACTTTAAACCTCACTAAGAGATATTAAGGGATAGCCTCACTTAGACACAAGCTTTTTAAGCAAAAGCATACAGGAGGTGTGAGGAATGTGCCACGCAAATATCTTGGAGAAGAGGGCTCTAAGCAGAGGGCAAAGGCAGTGCAAAGACCCTGGTGCAAAAACATGTCATGTTTGCTCAAGGAAGAAGGAAGCCATATGCAGACTGAGCAAAAGGGAGAGCAGTGGGAGATAGGGCTAGAGGTGGTGTTGAGCAGAGTTGTGATGTCACCTTTTAAAAGGACACACTGATGTGTGTATGGATTAAACTACAGGGGGGTCACGCATAGAAGCTTAGAGATTTGTTAAAAGGTCTGAGCATATTTCTTAAATATGCTCAGAATCTGGATGGATTCTGACATTAGAGTTGACGGAATCAGGAGGCTTTTGAAGTCGTCTGTAGAGGAGGCGATCAGACCCTAAACAGGAATTGGGTGGGTGATAGGGGAAGAATAAGAGGCAGATTAAAAGAAATTAAGATGAAGTCTTGCAGAGCCACGGTAATAAGTATATTCCTCAGTTCTCCCACCAGACTTTCTTTGAAGAAGGGTTGGTTGGTTGCTTTGCTTTAAAAAAAAAAAAAAAATCTATTGTTTCTGGGTTTTGACTTTTTCACTGGAAAAGAGAACCGGCAGGTTATGATCTGGAAATCTACATCAGGAGAGGGGGTGAATTAATTAGGCAATAAAGGATTGTGGTGAAGTCAGACGGATCTGACGTTACATCCTAATTATGCTGTTTACCAGCCATGGGAAGTTATATGAACTCTCTGTGTCTTCGTTTCTTTTGTGAAATGGAATAATAATACCCACTTCATGGGTTGGTGTGAAGATTAAGTGAAAAAATGCACTTGAAGCTCTTAGTATGCTGTGTGCTCATAACACACAATAAATAAACCTAGTTAATTTGGTCAACAAAATTTCTGACACACATTTGGGAAGCTACTTCACTTTTTCTTTTGTCTTTAATCCGGTTAGCCTGACCTTGTTAGTGTAGTTTTTTTTTTTTTTTTTTTCTAAAGAACTTAATGTTAGGGGATCCCTGGGTGGCTCAGCGGTTTAGCGCTGCCTTCAGCCCAGGGTGTGATCCTGGAGACCCGGGATCGAGTCCCACATTGGGCTCCCTGCATGGAGCCTGCTTCTCCCTCTGCCTGTGTCTCTGCCTCTCTCTCTGTATGTCTCTCATGAATAAATAAATAAAATCTTAAAAAACAAAAAAAAGAATTTAATGTTATTTTTAGTATCTGCAGTACAGCACTAGCCATTTGCTGCTTGACCAGCCAAATGTGGTGAAAGAAACTTTCTGCTAAGAGGGGCAGGTTTTAAGTAATTTGTCTTATGCTGGTTGCTTTTCAGTGTTGAATGTGATTCCTCTGTCCTTCCATAGTTGTACACAGAGAGAGATGTATAAATTAAAAAAATCATTTTTTAGGTAAAGCACTACAGAAGATGGAGGGATGGTTGTTGGTTTGCAGGAAGTTAGGAGTCAAGTTGGGCCCACAGCAAAAGATGGTGGCAACCGATGAGTAGTTAAGGGAATCAGTGCCTTAGGAGGCCAGAGGAAGGGAACCCCTTTTGCCAAATTGAGCCAGGTGAGGCTTCCCAGGTGCAGAAGGATTTCCAAGGTGATTACCAGTGGACATAGACAATCTTCCTCCTCCTATTTAGCAAAAGTGGAGGCTCTGAGGAAAGAGAAAGATCTGGAAATGGTTCAGTCAAGGAGTCTAGATTGTGTGTGTGTGTGTGTGTGTGTGTGTGTCTGAAGTAGGAAGAGAAACAAGTTTTATGTTTGTTGCTACCCAAGAGAGAGGCAGAGAAGGAAGCTAATAGGATACATAGTATGTGCATGAAATTATACACAGTATGGATTGGTTCATCGGGGCAGAGCTGAAGAGGTGGGTTCACTGATGCAGGATGAGGACAGCTGGCGCAGAGAATTCCCAGTGGGCCTCCAGGAGCCTAGGCCTCCATGTATCTGGATCATCATTCCAGGGAGTCTTGTCTGCAGTTGTCAGGACAGGTGGCTGACAGCTCTGCCAGGATTAGGGTAGCAAAGGCCACACCTGCTTTATGCAGCGATCTGATGACAGTGGCGCTAGGCTGAGAGTTTTTCCTGATTCTTCACTCAGCAGCCTCCCTGCAGGCCCCTAAGCCAGACACACACATCTGGTGACTAAATCCTCATCATCTTTTCAGTTTGGAAGATAAAAACTGTGGCAGAGCCTTATCAGGACAGGTCTTTTGGGCCCTCGGGGGTGAGTGTATGCAAGGAGTTGGAAGTAAGTGGCCCATTAGTGAGGTTAATAATAGACACAAAGAGGACAATTGCATTCTATTTCTGATCATTATATGCCTGTCCTGGTCCCTTTTCTTCCCACCCCCCACAAACAGGATGGCCATGAAAACACTACTGAACTAATTTGTTGATTAGCTTTTCCTTGGCTGTTACACTGCTTGACATTCCAGATCCTGCAGTGGTTCTCAGACTCGAGAGTCTTAAAGTATAGTGTCTACTGATACCCCAGAGGAATTTGTTCAAAGTGCAAAATTCCTGAGATTCTGATTTAAGAAGTCCTGTCTTGAGCCTGAGAATCTGCTTTTTAACATCCCCAGGCAAACATTTTTCCTCCAATTTTTTTTTTCTTAACCAGTAATAAATGTATTTTAGGTTGCAGACCTGGGTGTGTGCCTGTAACAGAAATTTCACAAAACTATATTTCCCCTAAGATACTTCCTATCCTGTTCCATTCCATTCTTATCAAACAGTGCTGCTCAAACTAAATTGATTTCATGACTCACCAGTGAATCTTAGCCTGTAGCTCCCAAAGCTCAGCTCTGTAAAAGCCATATTTATGGGGCCCTTTGAGGCGTCTTTTCTCTGTCCTGTAGCTTCCTTTCATTTATTCATTCAACAAGTGTTTATTGAGCATTGTAGAGATTAGGAATATGGCAGTGACCATATCAGACAAAAGACCTTGCTCTCTGATCTCATATAGAGCATGTGTATTATACCTTATTCTCTAAATCCAATTTCCATGGTTTCTCTACTGCTGTTCCCACATTTCAGGGTTGAGCAAGTCTCTTACACAAAGACTGAAGGGGTCCATTGAGGACTCTGTTTTTGTCTTGCTGTGGTTTGCTTTTTTAAAAGTTTTGCCCACTTAGCCAAAACAAAACCCAAAAATACCAAGTTAGTATGGTCTAGTGTTTTTATGATTTGTGGGCAGAGGAAGGAAAACTCATCCCAGCAAAGCAGAACGTTCGTGGTTTCCCAGAAAGGAAGCATAGATTGTTAATACTTGAAACAAGCTAGCATGAGCCAACAGAGCCCCCCACCCTTCAGCATGAAAAACAGTAAGTGTGAGCACCAGTGCCTGCTTATTCTTCATGCATGATTTGTTTATCCATGATTAAGAAGAGGAGCAGTTTTAAGAGTCAAGGAGTTTTGCTTATGATTAAGATTTGGAATTTTAACTTGAATCTGAGTGTAGGTGATGTTCCAAGCAGTAAATAAGTAAGATGAGTCCCTAGATCGCAAAGATCTCCCGCATAGAAAACTCTCCACTAAGCCACTCTCCCCAGAGGAGTTTGAGGCCTAGGCAGCAGTGAGGTTACAGACGTGGACAGCTGGGATTGCACGTGAGGGGAGAAGTGGAAGTGACAGTGGCCAAGGATGACGACTAGCAGGTTTGTGAATCTGGCCAGTGTTCACCCTGTTCACGGCCCCAAAGACTGTTTAACTGCCTTCATGTAGTTGAAGAGCAGCTGCTGTGGGCTTGAATAATTGTTTCCTTTGCTGTGAGGGGCCGGTGTGCAGCCTTGGAGAGTTTAGAAGAGGTGAGTG